ACACACACACACACACACACACACACACACACACACACACACACACAATGGAGAACAAGTACATGCGTGGCTTACACGTACTAAACGCAACAGCTGCTGCCAAAGTCACTGCTTGTCTGGACAGCTGCTGAGCAAGTAGGAGATAAGGGTGGCGGATCACAGGCACGGAGAACAGAGAACTATTTAATTAATACAAGCAACTTTAAAATGGAAAAAGCTATTACATGACACGTTTCTTGTTGCCTTAAAAGAAGGTGAAAGCAATGGTGTTAACATAGTGATTAAACTTGATTTATTTTGATTAATATAGGCACAATTTAGTATAATCCAAAACAGAGCCTTGCATTAAGTCCGACATTCATAAACGTTAAATGTTTAATTCTGTAGATGTTTTGGGGCAGTAGTTTGTGGTATAACTGCATATGATTGCATTATAAGGAGCAGCGTTTATATTTTGGCCATCTGAGCAAAATATAAAAAAAAAAACAAGTGGGCAACACACACTGCCACAAATGCCAAGACCATAAACAGAGTTGATCTGGCTGCATTATTTTTAAAATAGCGTCTATATGACTTATTGTACATAAAGCCCGAAATAAAACGCGGTTTGGCAGTGAACTACATCAGCACAGACGAGCCATTATTTCTGTATAATGGTGTAGTCTTCTACACTATTTTTATTATAGCCAAAATGCAACTAAATGGTTAAAGTTGAAGTCTAAGATCAAGAAAATAATCACATGGCTATGATTTGAGGAACAGAAAGAGAGAACATAAACCACTCATGAGGACAGCCAACGGTCATCTTCCGGTTTTCAACATCTGCTGTCGCTAAAAGCTGATACAGGCAAAAGTTTAACAAGGAAACTATATGATTCATAACAATTCCTTACAATTGACTTTCTTATGGAACTGTAATGCAGCCTTTAAGAACAGAAAAAAATACATTTAAAGTTACTGTGAGGAACTTTTAGACAGACCATCAAAGAGAACATTGGCTATTTCTACATAAATATTCATAATGCTCGTAAATAGTGCACAGGTTCAAATTTTTAAAAAATAATGTAAATAGTATAGACATAGAATTGAAGTTGTCGCCAGTATCCCGATTCAGCTATTGAGTCAGTATCGGCCTGATATCGGTATCGTTGCATCCCTAGTAGATGCATGTTGTTGGTCTAATAACCGAACAGCCCACCAAACTAACAAAAGCAAAAGCAATGCCATGCAACCAAGCTAAAAGGAAGCTGGTGTAAAATCACAATCGTGATGAACAAGAGCACAAAAATAGCTGCCTGTGAAAGTTGTACTCCAACGTCAGCTAATGTGTGAACAATCAGGGTGAAATCTGAGTGTTATTGCTCTAATCTTGCAAAGTTGGCAGATCATCATCAAGGAATTAAGCATTTTCCATTGTTAGTCTGCACCATGTGGCAGGCACATGCCATGCATGCGGAGAGAGTTCTGTTCAAATCAGCACTCGATGTCTTTCTCCTACGCCAAACAGTTTAGCTCAATATTGTCTAGTTTTACCACATCTACGCACAACGCTTGCCCACCTTTGTTCTTGACCAGCATGCACTGCAGCGCGGCACTGGCCGTGACCTGGCTCAGCCACAGCTCCCAGTACATCTTCGGTCCTAGTATCCTGAAGAAACACTACGGTTTTCTCGCTCCGCTGACTCCCAACAGTTGTTTTAATGCTCCGCCGTGTCTATGTAGACTGAAAAGCACAAGTGTACATTCTCCCGGAGCACGAGCTACTTCCTCCACATGCCGGAGTACAAATGCTGTACGCGGAGCAATCGGAGAGAGACGGGAGACCCCCCAGACAAAGTATTTACCCACGCTGTCCTTGAGTCAAACCACCTAAACTTCTGAAGTTACAGCAGTGAGTAGCAGTCTCCTGCTGGGAACTCCCTACTAGCTTTGATGTGGCCGAGGGGAGCCTGGATTTCCAAGGTCCATCTGGGGAACACAGACATCCATGACTGATGTTCTCTGCGGTTCAAGAGATGGCGAAACGTGGCAGAGAGAGGGAACAAGAAAAGTGTGTGGTAAAAGGGAGGAGGGGGCATGTATACAGAGGGGTGGATGTATAGTATGGAGGAAAGTTGAGTTCAATGTGACATGCGTGTGTGTGTGTATATATGAGCGGTGTGGGAGTGTGCGAGGCCTGGACCAGTGCTGTGGCCAACAGCAGATGGCTGGTCCTATTCCCCTGGGGACACACTTTTCTTCTGTGTGTGTGTGTGTGTGTGTGTGTGTGTGTGTGTGTGTGTGTGAGTAAATGTGCATGACTACAACTGCTGTAGTCAGGCCGAGCCAACTGTCAGAGCTGCTCCTCTTACATAGCTACATATCACATCGACTATTCTCCGGAATGTTTTTAATGAAATAGTAATATCACGCTATACACGTTTGTCAAAGGTCTTGATTTGAGGATTCTCTATTCCAGTCATCCCAGAGACACACCAAGACTCAAAGAGACACTCAATCACCGACTAGCCAAGCACTCGGAGGCGTAAATCAAATAACCCAGTCCCATCAAATTGTTTTCCTAGCATTATCCAGTTTCATTAAGTTGATCATGTTCCTGAAATCACTTTTAAATCCTTCCTACACCAGACAAAAAGCATGATGCTGCTCCACTTGGCTGAGCTTAGACCTCGTGTGCTGGATCGTTTGATTGAGGGAGCAGTTGGTCTGCGTGGGGTATGTCGTGTGCCCGTCCGGGTGCCTCAGTGTGTGCGTGCTGTGAAGTGTAGCACATGTGCGCTCTGAAGAAACGGCGGCTTTGTGTTGAGCGAAGCAGAAAGGGTATTTGCAAGTCTTAGGGGCACGACAAGCTTGCACCCCCTAAGACAGCTGGGACAGAGGTGACCCTGGTCCTAAGGCACCCACACACACACACACACACACACACACACATAACATGTAGACACACATCAATGGTGACACTATCTCCTTGCTGCTTCCCCTGCAGCTGTTTGTATGAGAGTTTGTGCCTCCATGTGTCTTTAAAGTATTCCCTTCACCAACCAACCGCCTTGTGCCAAAGTATTAAACACAATAACATCACTTACACACCCTGATCAAATACAATAGGAGGTCGTATCTGAAGCCCACGACCAGCGAGGTAAAGGGTGTATTTTTAGACACTGGAGAACAAAACATAGCAGCATGACATCCAGAAATAACTTCGCAGAGCACATAGTGAGGGTGGTGCGGAGATAGATGGCTCGCTGCCCACAGGAAGACCTCACAAAAACCCTCAGACAATGCCGCGGATGAGACCCACGCACACAAGACATTACATCAGCCTGGAGGACAGGCCTGATCACATCCAGTGGCAGACTCGGAGACAGAAAAGGTGAGGAATATGGGAGAGTCAAAGATATCTGCAAAATAATTGAGGGCTGGAGAACTACTGTATGTTGTAAACATATAGCAGCCTTTCTGATGATCACATTGTGACTCACTGATTAATCACGGTTTAACATTCTGTGTCTCAGAAACACATAAGCAAGGACATATACCGTTTGCGATATCACCAATGGAAATTTGAAAGAAATGTCAATGTCAGTAGAGGACTACCATAGTGGAGTCAAGTCCGGTTTATTAATGTAGCCCCAAATATGTCTGATGACTTTACAATCTGCACAGCATGAGACGCCCTCTCGTTACCTTTGAATCAGTAAACACGCCACAAAACATTTGGATCAGGAAAAGAAAAATGGGAGAACAACAAAGAAGGGCACTTTCAGAGCACAAATCCGTTTAGTATGTACTGAGTAGACATTAGAATTCTAACAGAATATTGTATTAGAGCTAAGACAATAAAGCACAACTGTGTAAACAGAATATTTTGGGGTTTTGGACTATTGGTTGACATAACAAGACATTTAAAGACATCAACTAGTGCTCAAGGCTATTGTGATGGGCTTTTCTCTTCATTTTCAGATGCTTTGTAGAACAAACTACACTAATCGATTAATCAAGTGTAAGGGCCTGAGGGGCAGGGTAGTGGCTGGCATCTACATTCCAGCCAGAAGGCTCCACCCACTCCTTCAGGAGAGCATTGAGATCAGGTGTGGGAAGACACACACCCGATCCTGATCTCCTCATCGGGGAGGGGAACAAAAGGCAAGTGGGGAAACGACGAGCGGAGAAGAATGTTTTCTCCTCGGGATGGAGAAGATTAAGCTCGGTAAGTCAGCTAGCGGCCCGGCTGATATAGTTTAGTTTGTATAGTCAACTGATCGAGCTCTGGACTGAGCTACGTTTTCTGTTTATTGAGGTTCATTAATTAAAAACCCGTACAAACCTGCAGAACTGACTGCCTGTGATTCCTGCGCTGCCACTAATTTCTGTCCTCCGTACCTTCCTGTTACACAAGAAAATAATCGCCAATGAAATATTAAAAGTAGTCATTAGTTGCAGCCGTATATGGTATTTAACCAGGATATAAATATGTCACTAACAGGATTTATGAGCAACCCATCAACAGTTTGAGAGGCAGTCCATAGAGTAGGGAGAGAAGAGTCAGTCGTTGTTTATGAGGACTGGACAAAGGACAATAGCTTAAATGCCACATCGCAAGAGTGTGTGTGTGGAGTCCCTTGTTTATGAGGACTAGAAGTTTATTGTGTAAAAAGACCACACTTCTACTTGCTGATATCAGTCTGAAACACCCGATTGGTTCATCAGCAGGGGAACTACTGTATACGGTATACACGATGTACTTGTATGCACTTGCCTTGTGCATACAGTTCACACATGTCCACACCGGCAGATTCAGATGTCGTCTCCTCAATCAGACCCCCACCCCCCCGCCTTTTACACCTCCTGGTGTTGCAAATCTTTGAGTAATTATACACGTACACACAGGCCGGCCGCTACCGGGAAACGCCTGTCAATGTTCTCTATTCAGCTCTGCTCTACACGGCCACCAGGTCGGCTGACAACATGGGAATACATCAATTAGGGCGCGGAGGAGCACCAGTCTGGACCTGGAGAATGGAGACTGATGGAGGCCTAACTGGCCCTGCCCCTCTCAGGGCTTGTTATGGGTTAATAATGGGATCTAAGTGCTTCCCTTTAGGTGTGCTAAGCTAAGTGCTCCTTTATGTGACAGCAGAGAGACTGGAGGGCACAGGATGACTTGAACATCTCCTTGCCAAAACTAGACTGGGCTGCCTCACATACAGGGGAAATATACAGTTTGACACGCTAAAGCAAATTCTATATTCTAATAGACTAATACAAACAAAATACAGAGTTAACTGAAAGTCATCCAGGCACTCTGACCTGTTTGATGCATGTGCTTAAAAAAAATATTCAGTCCTTGCGATGTAAAATTTAAAACAAACCAATACATGCTTTTGGATTGTTCGTATTTATATTTTAGCCTCGTGCTTTTCTGTCCAGCAGACGCCATAAATTCACACAAAAGCGCCGACACAACCATAGATTTCCTCACTGTAGATCTGCCTGGTCTTGTCCAATGCATTATGCAATAGTATGTGTGCACCGTATATAATGTCTGTCTGAGGTGTGTGTGTGTGTGTTTATGCTCTCAAACGTCCCCGTAAAGACGTGTTCACCGCAGCAGATCTCTCTCTAAAGCCTTAGAAATCACACACTCCGCGGTGAGGGTTTACAGAAGCACCCAAGGACTAATCTCGATGTCTGAGCAGGTAATCTGTTTAATCATGCTGGGGTGTAGGTTTAAGCTGCTTAACAATGACTCAGTTAAAAAGAAGTGACCACAGTCCAAGGGGAAGTTCTACTCTTAGATAGCTGAGATACCGATGCCTGCCAAAACAGCCCAGTGGAGCCTCCACATTCAATGCCATGCCATCTTTACTTATCTTACATATACCGTCTCAAATTCAAACTGGATGAACTGCATTAATTACCTTTAGTGTAATGATAACAAATAACATGACAATGCAGCAGCAGGGTCACAGAGTTATTCATTATGAAGAAGCTACGTGTCGCCGTCTCTTCTCTGAATGATCACACGCATTAGTCGGGATATTTGAGGACAGCAGGGCCACGGGGCACACTGAGGAATCCTGACTGACTTGTCAGTAGGAGTGTGAGATAATATCGCTACTCTTGAGTATCCTCGTGTTTGTGGGATACCCGTTATCGATTAGCAAAAACACCCTCCATTTTTAATGCAAAGAGTCTTGGCAAATATTGGTTCAGATTGTACAAAAAAGTGGTGCTGTGATGTTGGATGGTCCAGAGACTGTGATAAATGGCCAATGCAGATCCCACTGTTCTTTTTTTAAACTCTGATTTCAGTCTGTTCTTTTGGACAGTTTTCCTAAAATGTGCTATACATCGCCTCGCTTACAGTATTGTAATATATTGAATTGTAACCTTGTTATAATTATGTATAATGTAACCTTACCCTTGTACCCCTATGTAACCTTAGCCTTATGTGGTCAGTAGGATGTGTTGGATAATCCTCAGAAAGGACTGCACCACATTATAACTTTACTTACAAACAAGGATGGAGAGAAAAAGTGTGTGTGTATGTGTGTGTGTGTGTGTGTGTATTTGCATGTGTGGGTGTTTACAGTGTGTGTATGGAAGTGTGCATTTCTAGCCAAGTCTCCAGCCTGCAACCCAGAAGATAAGCAGCAGTGATAATGGCAGCAAAAGAGACGAGGACTGATCCTGGAAGCGAATCAATGCTTGACAGACTTGGCACCGGGACTGCCCCCCCCCTTTCCTACCCCATATCTAATTTCCCCCCCTCCCCTCTGTACCATCACAGCTTATAACTGTGCTTTATCCAGGAGCCACTACAGCAATTTGGCCAGAGCTCCTCATAAGTTTACAACATTTGGTGTTTTTAAGATGACAGATGCGAGGGGTTGGTTTCACCATCTGCAAAGCCAAATCACTCACTGTTCTGATTAATCCTCACTCTTTAAATGAGATGAGCTGCAGAGAGCCGAGGCCAAGGAACAGAAACTAGGACTGTGGTTTTGGGGACTACAGGAGGTTGACTGGTAGCAGATGCAAATGCTCAAGGCTACAACTGGGAGTTTGGGCACAGAAGCATGCAGTCACAAAAACAACTCAGCCACCGTTAAACTTTTTAGAATCTTCAGGAAATAGTGCTTAAAATATGACTGAAAATCATATAAATCTCTGGTGAGATAACACATTATGGCACATTCTGTTGTGAAGCATTAAAAATGAAAGGGCATTTTACTGTTTACAGATTTGGGACTAGAGTTGTAGAGGGGCAGAGCTGGTCAACTGAAGGGCTAACAGCAGAGGCTCAGACCGGGGGGGGGACAGAGGAGAAGCCTGGGATGAGGACAGAGGCACTGAGAAACATAAATTATTTAACAAACAGCCATTACAGAGTGCACACTGGTACGCAGTCTTCCGACATAAACCAAGTCCAATTGTGTTAAAATGAACTGCACAGAAACACTATTCTTCAAACACATCCATCTCATCACACATATTCCCATTTCTGAGATGACCAGTCAGACTCTGATCACTTTTGCCCCAATTTCTAGGTAGTATCACCCAGAAAAGGTGTGGCCATGGCTCCTCCTAGTGGTTGTTAGCAGTCACTAGGACTGACTAACTAGTTTCTTTTTAACAAATCCTTTTACTCCAGGATATTATCTTTTAAAGTCTATTCAAATCTCACCTACAGCTGCTGAAGCGTTTGAAACTCGACTGTCCCATGATATCACAGTGCCGTGTGACGTTTCCCGGCTGTTGGGGGGTTTTAGTACATGGAGTACACAGAAAAGTGGATTTGTCTCTAATCTAATTTCACCCGTGATGCAAATCAGCTTATGTCCTTGGATCCTGGATCCAGGCTTTTCTCTTCTCCTCCGGGCAGCTTTAACAGCGCTGCTCTTTCGGTACAGCTGGCTCTGCATTCACTATCAGCACAACTGCCAAAAAAATATATATAAACTCCAGTCCGCTCATCTGCCCCAATTTCTATGATCTGTTCAGAGTAAAAATAGATTAGCTTATCGCTTTGTGGATTTATTGAACGAAATGTCAGAAGTGCCGTTTTGTCACACAGTCAATTCATCCATCACTCCAACCCATTCAGAGTTCTTACAAGCAAGATGTAGGTTTCATTAAAGATAGACAAAATAGAAGACACGCGAAAGTGAAATACGATAAGGAAATTGATTGCAGTGCTGCCTTAATGAGGCCAATCTTTCCGCAGACTTGCCTCACTGTGTCAGTTCAAAGGACTCTCCTCACTGCAGTGTGTGCATCAGATAAACCCACTGCAGAGATGGCGATCTCTGAACTCCTGACAATGCTGAAGGGGCGGAACCATCAATATGTTGCATCCTCCGATTCACCAATACTGCACTTCGACCAATACTCACAGCGGTGGCTCCTAGCTGGATTGTTCGTCTAGTGGGGTAAACATTGTATTTCTGGGAGACATGGATGCTCAATTAGAACTGCTGCACACCTGAGCAGACGACAGGAGCTGACTCGCACCGTCCATAGCGGGGAAAGAGAAAGATAGCCCAAAGCCGGGAACTACAGACGTTGAGAAATGTCACTACCGCTGAGGAGAGAGCCGTGAAGTGAAAGAGGCCACTTAGCCGGGCATATTTACAGCCAATTTACACCAACGGCCTTCAGCCTCGTGTTTATCTACCCCTAAAATGACTCAGTGGTTTAAAGCACACTGATAGAAACTCTAGTGGAAGCATGCGCACGTGACACCCACTGATACTCACTGGAAAGACAGGCAGCAACACACAGGCATGAGTTCAGCAGACAAAAATGCATTCCTCATAGACTGGCACCTTTCAATTACATCTCAAGAAGGCATCATTTAGCTTCTGAAGTATGCTTCTCTGTTATAAAGTGGTTAAAGCTGGAGTAATAAAACCACTTCAAACATGTCGCTCTCTGGTATCTATCAAGGGAAAGACTCTGAAGCCATTCCTCGTATGGAAACACTAATGGATATTAAAATTACACGAACACTGAATTAGATCAGTTGTGAAACCAACACTTCGTCCGACTGGTTGACTCACAACTGTACGGTCTGTTTTTGTACTTCCTGTTGCTGCTGTGGCACTTCAACTTCCCTGCATGGGATCAATAAAGCTCATCTCATCTCAACTTCCTCTTGAAGAGACCTGGTCACATGGTGTCATGGTCAAAGCCACAGAAATCAAATCTGGCCATCTCATCAATTCAATCACCGCTATTGCTCAACAGATCTGTCAATAGACAAGAAATGGTTGATTGTGTTGGGAGCCTTATCCCATAAATTACTGTGAATGAAAATAAAGTCAAAGAGCTGCTTGCTTGTATATTTTGTCTTTACACAAAATACTATACATTATATAAAAATAACACTTGTTTTGTGGCCTCTAGTGATACTCAATTAGCAACTGAAACATCAATTTGGGTTTGTAAATTGACATTTTACTCACTAAAGGATGAAGTACAAATAATGAAAATATCTTTTAGTTTTAGCCCTAATCAACACCGACATTCTATCAACCAAAATAGCCTCCTTTACAAAGCAAGTCCAAATTTCACCCACCAAGATGTGCATCATTATCACATGAATAGACGAGCAGAAAAAAAAGGCACTTTGATAGTCGGTGGAAGACAGAGCTCACAGTCCCGAGCTTCCTTGCTAAAGAGTCTTTGTTCTATTATTGTGTTCTTTGAAGAGCAGCAGTCTCTCTGCAGAGTGGCTGTGTGACTGCATCCTGGCTGCTATAAAAAGGCCGCTCCTGCCCCGACATCGGAGAGAACAGACCAGCGCCGACACTGCTGCACTTAGTAGGTCTGTCTGTACATGTACTTCAAGCTGAGGAAGGTTACGTTTGAGATGTGCAACCAAGGGATTGAATATGTGTTCCATTCCCAAAAGCTTGCAACTTAGATGTGTCCTTACTCTCTGCAATGGCGTGAGGACGTTGGGTCTGGGACATCAGCGGAAAGGAAAGTTATGTCAGTAGTTTTGCCTCTATGCAGCACACAGCACATGTGAAGTGACAATCCAACGGAGGACACAGAGTGAGAAACAAAGCCAACTGCAGGTAGACGGACATGAAACATCCCAAAATGTTTACACTTAAGAGTGTACAATCAAAGGGTGTCACAAACACACACACACACACACACACACACAGAGAAGTCAAGCTTAAAAGTGTGCAGGTGCTTTTTTGATTGACATGTAAAACATTACCGTGTAAAAAGCCCTAAAATGCATTACTATGATGATATCGTCACCGTTACTTATAAGCACAGATCGGCCACTAAGAGACCTTGCCTAAGGGGAGACGGCTGGGAGGACGGAGGCAGATCATCGAGCGGAGTCACTGCTGGGCTCTTTCTCTTGGGCTCCGATCTGCACTGTTCTCATGACCAACAGAGCAGATAACAACATCAATGCATAGCTATTGCTCTGAGGCAGGAACATGGGTGACTATAGGTACTGCCACACCTTTTTCTCTTTTTCTGAGTGTCTCTTTACGTACGATTTGCAGTACTCATGTTAGATTACCTCATAAATGTACTAATCGTGCGAGAGGATAGATGTTGGACATTAAAGTATAATCACACAAGTGCAGCTTTTAAAACGTTCATGATTGCATGAGCACAACCATGCAATGACAGAAGGTGACTGAATAATTCACATGCATATTTCCCACTGGATCAAACTGTGCAGTCAGCTTGCTGAGTGCGTTGTAACAGTAGACGTTATCAGACAGAGGATGTAAGTGAGCATGTGAAAACCACTAGGTATTGTAACGCGAGCCTAAGGTGGCTGCTATTGTGAGTTAATGGGGTGGAATTGCTACTCAACCTCCCGGAGGCAAGAATCAGTGTTTACCAAAGCAAGTATCAGCCAGAGGGGCCTTAGAGAAAACATAACTAACCTCCAGTCACGACCCTTTAGGCTGAGCAGAGAACACTCTTCCTCTTTTCAAACACATTGTTTGTCCTTTGGGGAACATCGAGTCACATGCAGCACATAACGTAGCTACATATGCTCCAACACACTGCTATATCCGTGTCAAATCTCAGCAAGTTTGTTCTCCATCTTCTGAATAAACGGCCTCCTGTGCATATGCACAGACAGTTAACAAATGAACGTTAGCATGTTAAAATGGATGAGACAAGCTAAGGTTAATTGGCATCGTTATTTCCGCTAACGCGTCGTTGTCAAACTAGCATAGACTCGGCTAGCAAGCGCTAATCAGCAGCAAACAAATATCAAAGTAGAAAACGGGACTCCTTCATCGTCACCCACACCTCTTTTATAAACGTGGTTCTCTTGTTACCTGAATGCAGTGTGAAGACATTGATCCCCGGGTCGGGCACGTTGACTGCAGCCGTCCTGCCCGGCGGTGTCCCGGTGCTACTGCCGGGTTCCCGGGGTCTCTTCCCGGCGCCGCTCCCCCGGTTCCCCTTCCCTTGGTGCGGTTGGGACGCGTGGGGCTGTGGTGGCTGGAGTCCGGTCGATGTGCTCTCACCGACGCGGCCTACCTGCTGCCCCATCCCGGTAGTTTGGTGTAAGGACGTTTGGGACGAAGCGAGCAAACCCCCTGCGCGCACCCCTGGTTCACATTCCCCCAAGCTGGAGCGGCCTGGCCCGAATCGTCTTCCTCAATCCCCCTCCTCGCTCTTCTTCACCGAGCTCACGTTAACTAGCTCGTATTAGCTCGATTGGCTAGCCTGTTACGCTAACGTTAGCAGCTATCGGTGAAACCCACCCACTCTGCCTTTAAACAATAAAATCGCAACCCCGGCGTGTGACAGCGTTTGTCTGTATCCCGCTGATCCAGGTGGTATCCCAACAGAAAATAACGGTTAACCTGACGAGCGAGATTCGGTCAAATCTGGAGCTTTTCAGAATGGTTTTGCCGTTGTTCGGCCGCTACGCGCCCCCTCTGACGCCGCCATCTTTACCGCAGAATAGAAGATGTGTTGCACAAGGCGGGGGGGTTCGATCCCCTGTCACCGTGATCCAGCACCCACACCAACCGGGTCCCAACAGTTCTCCAGCGGGGGGCGAGGGGGTCCGACGTGATCCTGGCGTCCTTGAGAAAACCACTATCGGCTATTGTTTTATCAAACCAGTGCAGAGTGTTAATATTAAACAATCAGTGCTTCAATACATTGTTTGAAATGATCTGCACTATAGAACTGTAACTAAAACAATATGGCCTGTATAGGTATGCAATTATTTTAATAAATATACTCTGCAGATGTCAGACAGACATCAGTAGTCAATCAGCAGTATAACTGGACTCATAAGTGCAAATCATACTGATGAATAATATAATAAAATTTGTACATTTTACACCTTCTATAGACAGTATACACTTGTATACAGCCACAGAAGTACTTAACAGTACTTAACTCATGTATTATATCTGATTATGTGCAAATCAGCTCCACAATAATACTTTTATTACTAATTCATTGGCAAACTGTCCATTATATACAACATTTATTGTATAAAACCCATTCATAAAAGATGAACTTGAATTAAAGAGGTAAAGGGAACATACTTCATTTTTATTCGTATACTTTGGTCTTTAAAGAATGTGTCGGACATTCGTCTACATCAGGAGGCAGAACATACTCATTCATAACATTGTCATATGATATTCAAGGCCAGAAGAAAAAGATCAAAAGGAACACAAATATCACAGTAGAGGCAGCTCCACTCCCCAAAAATAAATATCTAATTTCAATAAATGAATGTCTCCAGGTTGGCTCTTTTAACTACTATAAATAGTATCCTTATTACCAAAATCTTAAAGGCATAAAGCAAAATAAAGGCTTCAGTCAAATGTGGAATACTCAAGAGTCACTGAGTAGAAAGTACCACAGCGCATTCCAATAGTTCTATTATCTGTACATACTTAAAAAATAAGTTGCTGGTACTTGTGTTTGGTGATATACAATTTGTAAGGGACTCTGAAGAAGACTTTGCTCCTGAACACAATTCACAGCCACATTGCGCCGAGAAAGAATCAAAAATAAAATCCTTTAATACACTGCCACCTTGTGGTCATAAGGTTTTTTGGAAGTGCTGTATTTTCCATTGCCGACTTTTACCTCATATTGTGCGTCTAAGTATTCACAAGTATAAATATAGTCTCCCTGCATTGAAATACATCAGGATTGGCAACAATAACTGCATTAACTTTGTGATTTCCTCAAAATAATACCAATGTGTAAGCACAGTTTCAAAACCACCGGAAATAAAAGCCCACTGAGCACATACATTCCTTCTTCCATTAGTTTGAAATGGAGATTACTGTTCTGTAAAAATGTTTATGATTCAAACAACAAAACACTGTTATTTCATGTACTCGGTATCGGACAACGCAATCCATCGCCCCAACTGTTTATCAAGCATCATTACTATTTCAATCTTATAACATTCTAGCAGCCAGCTGCAACATTTGTGTTAGAAAGTTATTCTGTAGTGATTTCACCTTCACATTGGGCATGACCAAACTAAAACATAACTTAAGTTCACAGGAAACTCTATCCTTGACGCTAGATGTATGTTCAAACTAGTTCAATTAAAAATATTCAAACCATCAAAAGATTACATTCTGCAGTCAGCATATATTACCTCCATACAGCATAATTGTCATCTCTATTTTGTAAAACCATGTTTTCTGAAGTTTAGTATCATGATTTTTTTTATTTCTATCGTTTCAGATTCACTATAAAATAATTTCCCCAACTACATCAATGTGTCCAAAGCCACCCTGATTTTCCTCTTCAGAGAAATGAACTGCAACCTTGAAGCCATAACACAGAGGCCACAGTTCCTCATATTTACACAAAACATCGACCATGTTTCAAAATAAATCTTTTTGGCAGTGAAAATAAATAACATTGAAAGGTTTTCCGAACATTCTGAAATTGTATTTGCAGACTTTGTTAAACATTAACCATTACTGCATATGTGACTGATGTTTGTAAAGTGTATTTGTTTGTATTACGCTGCCACGTCATATTGGCACAAGGTTTTACAGTTGATCGAGGCAAATGGAATGGCAGTACATCCGAACAATAAATGGTAAATGAAAATATAAGAGTTCACGTGGGATTTTATGTGAACTTGTAATTTTGTAGGGTTTGTTTTTGAAAACATAAAACAAACATGTCAGGCATTACTGTGACTTTTCTGTTAGAGTACAGAACATTTTGGCACTGAAACAAAACAAACTAGAAAGATCAGAAATGATGACAGTAACACAAAGGCTGGTCGGATGTATTCTGATGAGTGATGATCCTCAGTAGTCGTCCAAACGTAGATCACAGCCTATCAGAGTCCTCCATCAGGCCTCTCTGACAACTCCAGGAGCGAGGCTTCAGTAACTCAAGGAATGAAGGCTGAAATAAAAAAACAAAAACAACAACTTATGAAGCTAAATCTTTGTTCATGCTCCAGGTTGGCAAAGCAAAAACTAACTTTCAGCTGAATTACTGCACACAAAGCAATGCTGCCGGTGTTACCTCCTTCAGAGGGCAGTAGCGCTGGGCATACCACTCCTGGGAGTACAGACAGATTATGACTCCCTGGCCCAGGAAGAGGGACGTCCACATGATTATGTTCCAGATGGGACCTTTCCTTTGGTCATGCAGAATGAAGTTGAACATTACTGTGAGAGGGTGAGAAATGAAGATGAGGGTGAGAGCATAATGGAAAAAAATAAAATAAAATGCACAGAGACATAATTCGACCACATTATTGTTTGCGTCATAACACAGACAGAATAATAATATGTATTGGATGTTGTCTCTTACTTCCGAAGCACATAAAGAGGCAGAAGAGGACGGGATAGAAGAAACCAAAGCAGACTGCAAGGATGTACTCGTGGACCACTGCAGACACTGTGAACACAAACAGCATGGCCACCGGTCTGAAACGCTTCTGAGAAATCTGGAATGACAACAAAGAAGAGAACGGGAAAGTCATTACAAAATAGTCAATAAATCCCTATAAACCTGACCAACCACAGAATGCAGCTGGTGCTCTTTAAAAAATAAATTATATATACACACACATACATACATACATACATACATACATACATATAGTATTAACAGCAAAACCACTCACCCACAGGAAGTCCCAGTACACATAGTAGTACAGCCAGTCATGGACCACTACATTCCAAGTCCGATAGTAATTAGCAAAAGAGGTTGAGTTCCACCAATCCTGTCATGTCAAAATCAATGAAATCAAGCGTAAAGTACAACATAGGAACTTAATTTATAGTTTAATCTGGCTGGCAGCGACAGATGAAGTACCTTGTAAAACATCCTGTCTGCAAATCGGAGCATCTCACCAAAAGCATTAAGCCAACAGTGGAGGACGGCAAAGAACGCCAGGAAGAGAATCAACACTCCTGCAAATGAAGAAAGACGCACAAATGTTTTTTTACTTTGAGACTTGAGTGAGACTAAGGGGTGAATGAAAGGGTATTTGTGGATGAGGATGGCTGATCTTACCTGGCAAGATGGAGTTAAAGACACAGAGGACCATGGCCCTCAGGTCAAACAGCTGCAGACTGATGCTGCGGAACTGAGGGATGCACAGCCGCACAAACACGTAATAGGCATAAAACATACAGCCTAGCACCTGTGGGGTGGGAACGGATGAAATAGTCAGAGAAAAAAAAAAAAAGGGACAATACATCTTGTGCTTGCAATTTTAAATAAATGTGAAAGAGGTTGGTACCTGAAGTAACTTTGTGGCTACGTAGCCCCATCTGATCACTGGGTTCCTGCATTAAGTGACACACAAGGTTTTACCAAACGCATGGAGCTACTGCATGGAAAAAGACCCAAACAATGAGAAGGAGCGTTCACCTGGGGTACTGGTCTCTGTAGACGAGTGTAGGTGCGAACAGAAAGTAGAGATACTGAGAGACCTGAGGGACCACTGGGCTGGGGCCTAAAGATGAAAGGAAAGACTGCCGATCAACATAAAGACAAAATGAAACGGTAAGAAAGACGTTTTACGAAACAGCAAATAAGAACTGCACATTGATATACAGAAAATCAAAGGGACATACTGGTCTTTTCTTTAGCCCAGGTCAGGACTCTTGGTACATTCTCCCTGACAAAGGAGTGGGCTTTCATCATTAGACGCACCTGGAATTAGACAAATAACAAAAACAGCAGCTATTACAACTTTTTCCACAGAGTCAATTTAAGGAAAGGCAAATTTACATATATTCCAAAAGGTATTTGAAAGAGATTTACATAAGTCAAGAAATACAGCCTACACATCCCTGCTCAACTCTTCACTTAAACATACACTTGACTTTAATAACAGACTTGTTTGTTTATCATATTCTATTGTAAATTTTCATATTTTCTATTTTTAAATGTCTTATACTATTGAACTGTGTTTATTGTCACGCACCAATCACCAAGCCAAATTCCTTGTATGTGCAAACTGTTTCCGATTCTAATGCAACACACTAACTGTGGACCGGATCTGTCCTCTACCTGTTCCAGGATGACGATGAAGCACGATGCAGGCGGGAAACTGTTGGTCACCACCACATATGTAGGCAGGAACCCCACACCCACAGCTTGGTAGAGCAGGAATACAGAGCCAAACAGCCAACTGTACAACCCGGGGTGAGGGTAAGACCCAGACTGGGTCTGCGCCCACAGGTAAAACAGCGAGTAAGGAACCAGCAACACAGAGAGGAACATGCAGATCCACGTGCACACCACCAGAGGGAACTGTCCAAATGCGTAGACCAGCAAGTCAAAGTGCAGCACCAGTCTGAGGCGAAGGAGATAAAGTAGAGAGGAGAAACTTCAAGGCTCTGCTCAAGACAGATTATCTGACCAAGTGACTGATTACTTCAACAAAAGCTGAATATAATCATAAGGCATTAGCAGTTTTCTACATTACCTGCCTTCATCAATGAAATCTACCACCAGTGTACTGAGGATAAAGATGATGAGCAGGGCAATAAACATGTGGTAGATAGTCCTGATGTGGTTCACCTCAAACAGCTCACTGCAGAAAAACAGACAGCAGGCGATTAGAATCGGCACCGCGACACTGATGTTGACAATCTTTAAGCAGCAGAAATATCAATGAAGTGCACCGTATCAAACAAATGTTTCATTACAATATTTGCATTTCTTTTTACGATCAGTGTGTCACCTTACTCTAAGAGGGACCGGCGACTGACAAACTGCTTGCCCTGGCCATGAGGAGGCCGGAAATGGCTAAAAGAAAACAGAGAGACATCGGTGACCAGCAAATCTATTTTCCTGAGAGAAAACAGTGTGTGTATGACCAAGAGAGCAATGGGAAAAGTTTGTCCTATGTGCTGAAACCCCACACATCTGGTTTTTAGTGCAACTTTGCTCTGAAAGGCTGGTAGGAGTTGCGAGGCAGCACCCGAGTTTGCTCCTCTCCTTGTCAGACAGCGGCGGTGAGAAGGCAGCAGGAACAGGCGTAGGCTCCAGGATGGCCGACTCCTCGATGAGACTGTCCATGAAGTCATTGACCTGACTGTCAAACTGATGCATCAGGTCACTCTTCAGGAACTGAGCAACAGAGCAAAAGACGCATGGAAGAGTCATCATTCATGGTCTGCAAGCACTTGATAAATGTGGAATATTTTGAGGTCAAAGGTGAGAAGAAAAAAACATTTTCTCAAGTGTCCCTGAACCCACTGAAACACCCATCAGCAGTTGCTCTGGATATAAGCATTAGCTAAATAGGTCATATCGAAATGTCTACAAAGTGTAAGAACCCATTAAATCATAAATAAACCCAACAAGTAAAGTGACTGAAATATACTGTACAAATGCATTAAAATGTACTTTATATGGCAGTGTGTCAATCTAAACTAAAATATTGATTGAGGGCAGGATGACAGAATAAACATTAACTGGAGGAAACCGTAGATCACATTCTAAGTGCCCCATTCCAACATGCAGGTTGAGCCTTTTCTTAACCTAAATTACCGACTTACTAACCTCTGCTTTTCTTTTCAGTTGTAGCTTTTTGCTGATCACCTGTTCCACTTCAATTGTTCCTGAAATTGCAAACGAGAACACACTGAGCATATCCATCCATTATCTTTAACCGCTTATAGTCAGCAATTAACTTTGGCTGCATGCGGTTGGACTGTGGGAGGAAACAGTCTGAGCATATGATAAAATAAAATAAAAAAAAAAAATTTATGCAACATGCTGCTTTGTAATTCTCCAATATCATTATCAAGCCAAGTGTTCAGGACACATCTAAATGAACAACAGAGTTGTCAGGTTACCTCGCCTCCACCTGGTAAATGTAAGCCACACCTATGTCATCTATTTGACTACTGGGGTTAAGGTTACGATAGGTTATTAGACTCGACAGCCGTCTGATGACAAACAAGTTGGGAGAGTTTAATGTCGATCACACAAACAGGGACAAGCAGCAGAAGCGCTCCACCCATCTGTAGACTACAGTAGAGCAAAGGGAAAAAAAAAGGCACTGAACATGATGAATGACATTATCACAACTTTTTGCACCTTCCAAAGAAGTGGTCAGCATTTTTATTCTAAATACATAGAAGAGTTTTCCAAAGTTTCACAGTTAGACTGTCCTGGTTAACTAACTGTACCACAGGGCACATCATGCTGCTTAAAAGGACACGCATCAACACATGGCATGTCTTCAGTGACTAATACATCCAGGCAAATGCATTGGAATTGAAATTCATATTTTGGACTGGGGTTAAATCAACATGCACAATGCAAATAGAGATTTTCTTACCATTGCTGGTAACGTGGTTACCTCCATTGGCTTGCTGGTGTTCACCCTGATGACATTCCTTATTCAAAGAGCTGTCTACATCAGGGAAGGGGAGCGTCTGAGGGACGGCTCTGCAGCGGAGGACACTGTCCTCTCCACTCTCCATTCTAAAGAAAAAAACAAAAATCAGGGGCAACATTACCAAAGTAAAAAATACCGCGTCTCGAGGACACACATACAGGAAGCGCATGCCACCACCATATGGGTGAGAATGCAAAGTATGCGGACTGACAAACAAATTGAACAGAGTTGAGAATCAAATCACTCTCACATGACACGGACACACGCGGGAGACGGACGGCTAACAGTTTATTTAGCTCCCAATCAGCTGATAGCCGAGGAGACAGCGTGACAGGCGGCGGTTCATTCATGAGCTAAATACACATAAACACCTGGTTTAAGTGGAGCCTCTTCCTGGCTGCTAGCACTGAGGTCTAGTCAAACTAGCCCACTTGTTGACGTTAGCTGCGGAAACAGGTTTGCGGAAACCGATGAAGGAAATCTAAAAATGCTCTCCACCGACTTCCTGGTTACGTACTCACTTCAAACCGACCGGGTGTGTTCTTCTTGGTAGGTCGACCTCCGACGACGCCGAGTTGAAACTCCTTTAATCACAACAGTCCGGGCTGCTGCTCACCTTCCCCATTGTGTAACCAGAGGAGATGATGAGCAGGGCAGCCGACGCTGATTGGTCGAAAAGTCTCTCCTCCTTTTGACGTCACCAACGCCCACAATGTTGACCATCGCTGACATTAGACAATGACTGATCAGTGGGCTTGATGACTAATCCAAAAAACTTTGCATGCAAACCAAAAAATAAATAAAAAACATCACATTTTTAAAAATAATTTGCTTTTAGAATTACTATTTGTAATAACCACACAATCAACCAGACACTGGCCGAGCAGTTAAAAGTATCTACACACGACTATTAACATATAATATATGAATACTCCCACTGATTGTGCAGTGTGTACATGACTCACACTGTATGCTGAACTATGACATGGCTCCTGGTTTGCTGTGTGGTAATTTAGTTAAACACTACTTTATTTATTCTATTGGTTTATTTGACAGGGACAGATGCCGACTGATCAACAACAACAAAAATAAATTGTATTTTGGAACTGAGTTCAGGAATAGACACCGTGTAGGCACACTTTCAGTTAAAATAATGAAGGCCTTAAAACTACATTTTGATACATGACTGAACTTATCATATCACATGATATTGTACCTTATTGGAATATATTCCCCCAAAAGGTTGAAATTTATCAAATTACCATATGTCTGAGGCAATGTGGCAATTGCCTGCTGTGCCTCTTTTCTCCCTAAATTCAGAGGTGCATAAAATATAGAAGCTACTTTCTCAAATCCAGAAAAAAGTTTTAAAACCTCATAAGTAGAAAACATCAACTTAATAAAACTGTTGCAAAATTTAGTGTGTCACAAACGGAAAGCCACTTATGGAAAAGATGAGTAACACAGGAAAATCAAAAACAATTGAATTACACATTTCATTCATATGTGCATGATTATCTCATACTCAACAAAATAAATACTGCAAGAGTAAAGTTATTCTAATAAAGGCATACTGATTTGAAATATAGTTTAAATAGCAAGAAAGTAAAGCATCGTACATCCTAAATTGAACTGGCCTTATGAGCTGAGTGTGGCCAATACAATTAACTGCAAAGACACAGGGCTGCATTTATAAGAATCACTACCAACTCAATCATCTAATATACTGACAACCTTCCCGACTGTGGGCAAATCTAACCACCGATTTGCTTTCAGTTGTGATGTGCAAGATTAAATGACCAAAAAAAGGATCTTTTGTGAATTTGTGAGGGAGGGGTAGGGGGTTTTAATATGCATGTGGTAAAAGGCAAATGGGACAATTCTGCATAGTCTGGTGGAAGAGACTCTGTGACACAGGCCATTTCAGCTGCCTGGCTGCAGGCCTTTACTGTCACAGCAACGCCACTTTGTGATGTGTTCTGACTTGTGCACAATCAAAATAGTCGTAAGAAATTATCTTTAAATGTTCCTATGTTCAACATATTTAATGGGAACATTTGCTTTTGAACACCCTTGAACTTGAACTCTTGAGAAGTATTTCATTAAAACTCATCCTCTAAACACAATGAAGGAAGCAAACATAAAAACATTTAACTATCGTTGTGAATTCTGGGTAATTGTGTTTTCCATTATGACATGACAGCTTGGCATGTTCTGTGTCATAAGTGGAACACTTTAATTTGATTGGCATTAGATCTCAAACTACACATTCTGTAGTTACATAAAAAAGTATTTGTACAGCTTAATGATCACAGAGGAAACAGCAAAAATTACAATCCAAATTCAAGAATGTATCCATTTTATTTTGACCATCTACTGTATGGTACAGGCAGGCTACGTAAAAAATTCAACAGATGCACATATCCCGATTTCATTTCACATGTTCAAAGTCATCATTTTATTTTGATAGTGCTGCATATCTTCCCCCTGTGAGGATGATTGAGACACAAATTGAGTTGTGATACAAACACTCATAAAATCAGGTGCTACATAAACATTTCAAAACTATTTATTTAATGCTTCATATGATAACATCTAACAATTCAATAAATATAAACAAAAAACAGTACAGCAAAGACCAAATTAATCCTGACAAAATAGTTCATGTAAAATACCGTGACATCATTTATCCCTACTTTCAACATAAAAGAGATATTTACAGTTCATCGTGCAGGAACACACACAAACACACACACTCCTCATAGGTCACAAGAAGCAGAGGGACCCCAAAACAACAGTGATCTCAGAGACAAGGGGAGAAAACGACCTCATCTCTACACCCAGATCTCTGACAGGAAGTAACTCCATATCACCTCGATGGAGCTCCGTGCTCCCGCGAACCGTCACAACCACCTCCACCTGCAAAATGATCAGACAGAAGAGACATGAAGAGAACAATTTAGCATATTGCACAGCTAGGAAGGATTCCTTTTGTAGCCGTGAACAGGGGTCCCCAACCTTTTTCCTTTCGGGACCCAGTCTTTGGGAAAGAGTGGCATAGAACATCTACAAACAATGTAAAAACTTGTATTGATTAATTCAATTATTTTGTTCTATATAACATTTATAGGACATTCAGTGTGAATACAGGAAGAACATGCCATGTTCAGATAGTGTTTGATTTGTTCATACTTGTACCACTTGACTGATTTATACTAATTTGCAATCTGGTATTTTCTTTAACCCAAAAAGAAATGGTTTGACACAAAGTACAACATCAGTATTGTCTATGGTTCCTCCCAATTTGTGTTTTTCTGTTTCTTTACTTGAGATGCCCTCCACACATCGCTGTAACACTAACATGTTACTTATATATATATTTTTTACAGCTAGAGAAAGCTGAAAGAAATGGTGTTTTGGAATACAACAAAATGTTTTGTATATCTTACCTCACATCCTTTTCCGGACACCGTGCTAATGTGGGAAATGATTTCTTTGCCAGAGTCTCCCAGGATGTGAAGGATCCCATTGGCTGAATTAGTTCTTCTCCGGTTTGCTGTACAGCTGACAGTCATGTGCTGGAAAGATGTGTGGCTGTGTAACCGCAGAAACCTCAGCTGGACGACATCCACACCAGCGTAATCAAACTATCAGAGACAGAAATCATTCATTTCAAGTCTGAGGAAATGGCTCACTGGTGTTAGAGGCACTCAATGTTCCTCAATGTTACCTTGTTTCCACGGTGCTGCTGACTGAACCACTGGACAGACATTTTCGATTTCTTCATTTCTGGTTCCCGACTGAATTTAATCTAAAGAACAGAATATTAGCAATATTTTAAAGCAATCCTTTCTGCCATTTTATTTGTATCTTAACATTAATCTAAAAAAATCTTTTTATTATTTTACTATTTATTTTTATTGATGTATGCTAATTCCTACACCTGAAATCTGCTGAAATATCTATTAGAATTGCAAACATCTCATCACATTTTTAAGACATTTGAAATCATTCCTGTGGGGAATTGAGGAGATCCCATCTGACCAGTTTAATGGTATGTTGTTTATCTATGCTCTTATGTAAAAGCATTATATCATGTTGTTGTGGTTGAAAACAAGAGGAAGAACTAGAAAGTGAGCCCATTCCTCACAGCCCTAAACCTGCTAATGTTAACCCTTTGTAGGTGACAGATAGTGTACCGGAGACTGTAAAGGGTCAATGCAGGTTGTTCCTCCTGCTGTGAAGTTACAGAACACCTTCACAGCATCAAAGGGACAGCCTTGGTTGGGGTCCATGTAAAAGTAACCTGAAAGATAATCAAATTGAGTGTCTGATCAGTCACACTGATTTAGGATACAGAGTATCGTCAAAAGCAGATTTACATATGAACCTTTTCAGACCCTCACCATCATTCAGATGTGTGTGGATGAGTCCCAGCTCGTAGCAGGTGGTGGCAGGGTCCTCTTTGGTTCCCTGAGGCTGGCTGAAGGTTTCCTCATCTACTTCAGACCACCTCCTGGACATCGGCCTTGGCTGCGACAGAGGAATCCATCATTCGGTCATTCAACCACCAAAGTAATACAACAATATAAAACATAATCTAACACAAAACAGGATCATTGTGTAAGTAAAGTGTGTATGAGAAGAAAGCTTGTACAAACTTTTTGTGGTCCTCCACTTTGCTTCAGGAGACTGGATGGCACCTTTTTCAGTTTTGATCTTGTGCTGGTTTTGGGCCTCAGGGCATTGTCCTGACCCGGTTTTGGGTCAGGTTTAGATCCCTGTCTTTGTGTAGGCCTGCGCTCACCAGGTGCACCTGGTTTCCCCTGTGAAACAAATGGCTTTGCTTTAAGAGCACGGTACAAACCTCATAGCAAATGAGCAGTATTCACAGCCATCAAGCTTCTAATGGATCTTTAACTTAGCAGTATGTTACAGTTAACTATGTTGATCATGTCAAACCTTTTTTTTTAATTTGTTTACTTATATTGTGAGAGTAAAATGTCTTACTGGAGGTCCACGCTTGCCCTTTACTCCCTTTGTTCCTCTCCGGCCTTGGACACCTTTCACTCCCTGAAAAGGCCCAAACACAGTCAGGCTGCTGACTTTTTCGATTGAACCGAAATTACAAAGCATCGTGAACAGACCAGGTCCAGGAAGACACACAAACTTGTAAAGTGATAACCAAACATAAACAAAGAATCTCTCACCTTCTTTCCGACCTGGCCCTGTGACAGAGACGGAACAGACATAACTTCAATAAAATGTTCCAGTCACTATTTTATATAGCAGAATATCAAATCAACGTACAGTGAGTCCAAGGAAGCCTTTTCGCCCACGTGGACCATGAGGACCGGCATGCCCCTGTCAAAATCAGTCAGTTGATTAATAACCTTGCTACCTGCTAAAAACAACGTGAAAAGAAAAGTAAAAACACAACGTACCTGCTTTCCTTTATGACCTTTTTGACCTTTCAGCCCCTGCAAACCAGGATTCCCCTAAAATGAAATGAATTTACAGTTGTCTTAGACCAACTTGAATTATGTCTAGTTTGAATTTAAATTATTTCATATTTGAAATCACTTCAACCAACCTTAAGCCCGGGTGGCCCCATTGGTCCCAGCATTCCCATGTCACCTGAGAGACCCTATAGGGGAAGAAATGAAGGACGAGAACGGGTTAAAAACTGCTTCTCACACAACATGTACATGATTCATGAGCAATGTGATTGTAATTTAGCCAGATTTCTAAAAGGTTTGGCTTATTGTACAGTCCTGAAGCTATGCAACAGACGATTCATAATTGTGTATCTGCCCAGTGATTCGGCTCCACTCCAAAATGATTTGGGTTCTTCCCTGGCTCATGCAACAACCTTCCACCGCTTACAAACAGTTTCAACACCAGCGGATGATGAGTAGAATGAATACCGTACAGAAACATGATAGGACGAAGCAATGTGAAAAACTGCAAGACAGCAGAAGCACTCCTCACGGGAATTATAAACTGTATGAAATAAATACAACATAAGTAAAAACATATCCTAAATGTTAAAATGCTAAATGTTTGCAGAGAAAACCTGTCTCAACCAGGTGAAGAGAGGTGGAATACTGTGTGTGTGACTTTTACCTTCGGACCACTAATTGCAGACTTGCCCTTCTCTCCTCTCAGTCCTGGAATACCCTGTATCAAGACCTGCGGTGATGACAGATGTTTACGGTAAGAGGTATATAGTCTTTTAGTGATCTTATTATTATGCTGCCGTACAAACTTGTTTACCTTTGGCCCCATTGGTCCAGGTGGTCCTTTTTTTCCTTTTGGTCCAGCTTTACCCTGAGAGACACAACAGGACATCCGTAAGACACACGTTAAATAGCAGCACAGTGAACTAGATTAATGAATTATGTACACATATGAAGTATACACATATGTACCTTAAACCCTGGTTCTCCAGTGTTTCCCCTGATCCCAGGATATCCAGGTTTTCCCTATACAAGAATACATGTTTTAAATGTATTTAATATCCCAAATCTGTAGGCCAAACTACAACAGATATTTATGAATAAGTGTATATCCCCACGGTTTTGCATGGGTTGCACACTATCCACGTTTGTTTTGGAGCTTACCATTTTGCCGGGCCTGCCAGGAGATGCAGGAGCTCCTCTGAAACCTATATCCCCCTTTGGGATGAGCAGGGGAGCGAGTGAATTTAGTTTAAGGTTGAACAACAGACTAAATTGCAGTATGCAACATTTTTACTTACCGGATCACCTTCATTACCCTCAACCCCTAGTAACCCATCCAAACCGCTTAAGCCCTGTGAACAAGATCACAAGACGAGAAACCAATCGTCAACACATTCCTCACTTGAACTTTTGATGTGCTAAAATACAACTTTATCATCACTTTTGGGGTTTGCAATGTGTGTATTGAATCTGTCACAAGGGATACTTGCAGGTTTTCCAGGTTGTCCAGCAGGTCCTGGTCTACCTGGCAGGCCTTCATCTCCCTACAAAACGGACTTCATTAGATGAGATCAATGTAACACTGAGGCCTAGAGTAAAACTTAACCTTTAATGAAAATGAAAGATCAACAGAGAGATCAAAGACAGTGATCGGGATGTTTACATTAAGTGACGGGAAGTGCATTTCTTAGTAAGTGTGAATAAAATAGTGTGAATGGAAAAAAAAACATTTTTTAATTTCAATTCAAATTCAAACTTACAGTTTTTCCAGGAGCTCCTTTGTTTCCTTTCCTTCCAGGCTGAGCTCTTTTTCCCTTTATAAAAACACAACCTTCATTATGACAATTTGTTTCTGTTTTATTTTTTTCATCTGAGATGAGCGATGGCTTTCTTTTACCTTCGGCCCATGAATTCCTTTAAATCCTGGAAGACCGGGAGGGCCAGCAGGTCCAGGTAGACCTTTAGCACCTGGAATGCCAATGATCCCCATCTTCCCCACTGTCCCCTAAAAGACACAGTCACATGCATAAATAACACCGTAACAAGACCTCTATTTACTGAAGACATATAACTAATAAAATAAAAGATCATTCAGTAACATCGAATGATCGAATTAAAAAGGCTGTGCATTGCAAACCCAATCCTTTTTAGTTCAAATGTGCTTCTCCACCATTGTGCCTCTTGTCCCATGGTCTCCTTTAGCACCCTTTTGACCTTGAATGCCCTGGGGATTACAGATGGAGACGGTTACAGCTTTATGCATTTACCATTAAATATGCTTAACCAGATTTATGATGCAACAACGCAACATAGTAACAACATCCCACCATGTCTCCTTGGATGCCTTGAAGGCCGAGCTTGCCCGTCTCACCGTGACTGCCCTGAATTGTACAAATACACAGCAGAAACTACATGAAATATATGAAGTGAACCCCGTCAGCTGGACAGATCACACTTGCAGCACTGAAGCATTTCACTGCATCAGAGAGAATAAATGGCACACTACACCTTTGGTCCAGGGATTCCAGTTTTGCCCTCAACGCCTCTCTTGCCTGGCAAACCCTGAAAAGACACAAATAAAGTCAAATTAATAAAAAAAAATATTAAGAATTAAAAAAACAAGATCAGGCATTACGCTAAGTCATATTTGTTTTGTATGGCAACCAATTTATGAAAATCAGTTTAATACACAGTATATGCAATCTTAATTTACACCATCATGCCTTTGACACTGAAGTGTAACTAAACATAAGAAGCTGCCATCTAGTGGTTAAAACCTTCATGGTGCATGTTACAGATCAGGGTGGCCTGGATGCAAATAGCTTGAAACTTTCAGAGCATTAAAGCTAACACAAACATTTTTATGATGCCATAATAATTGTGGACTTTCTCTTGAATATTATCTGGTGAATATGTTCATGCCACATTAGGTCAAATAACACGTACTGGTGTTGATGGTCCAATTTGTCCAGCGGGACCTAAGCTGCCAGGGGGGCCCTGGAATGAGAAGCAAAACTTACAGTGTTTATTATTATAATAACAATATAATATTTAGCATCTCTTGAATGAAATTATCTGAATCACAAGTAGATTTAGAATCCAAACATAAATTATAGTAGCCACACAATACTGACAAAATAAGGCAAGCTTCATCCACGACAACATGAAGCTCATAATAATTAGCATTAAGCGTCATCATAGACAATTTTGCACATCATTAATAAAAGGATCTAACTGATACTGACAGTCTGTCCCTGGAGGCCCTTATGGCCTTTGGCCCCTGCGGGCCCAGTGTTGCCCCCTGGTCCGAACTGTCCAAGCATGCCTGATGAACCTCTGGTACCTGGCTCACCCTGTGAAAGCATCATCATCATCATCATCATTACACATTTTAGACTCTTAACAAAACTTTCAACATTCATTTTACAGCATAAGGTTAGAGTAACGAAAATGACTGACCTTGAGCCCTGGAACTCCTTGTTTTCCTCTCTCCCCTGTTGAACCACTGTATCCCTGCAAAAGAGCAGGGGCAGAGCAGAGGGGATACATTGTGCTGCTTTAATTCAAACTTCAAAAATATTTAGCACACTCTAGTGGGTCTCAGAAGTGCAGTGGCTGCAGGGATGCCTGACTTTTGGATTTTGAATATGATTCTGATGCATTTTCAGAGCAGAAACAGACAAGGATGTAAGGTACTGTCATGATATTCCAGTATACTGCAGAAATGCAGTCTTATATATCCACCTGTTTCCCCGGTGGCCCCATTGCTCCCTGTGGCCCTTGGTTGCCTCTGTCGCCTTCAGCTCCCTTTGGCCCTTTCCGTCCAGGAGGCCCAGTGTTTCCCTTTTCACCCTGGAATGTAATTCAAACAAATGGTTTCCAAAATTTGATTGATACATTTATGTCCCATTTACATGCAGGGTGTGTGTGTGTAATCAAAGCACGGGAAGTGTGGTGCTGAGGATGCTGCAGCACCCTCTGCTGGATTGCGGAAGATGTAAGTATTGAATAGGTTTTTGTTGGCACTTCAACGCATGTTTGCAGCCATGGACTGGTTGATACATTGTAATCGGACGCTCTGAAATCCAAAGAGAAACACGTCTGCACAATCCAAGCTGCTCCAAGAGAGTTGTTGTAAATTTGTAATTGGTGAGAGAGTTCCATTGAGCTAAATTAACCCTGGAGACAGTCATGGTTATTAATTGAAGTGACGTAATATTATTTTGCATATTTGGTGGCAGCATCCCCAGTTCAAATTAGACATTTGTAAATACTTTTATCTCACAGAACTCACAGAAAGGCCTTTTTGTCCAGCTGGCCCCTCGGGTCCCTTTAGACCAACTGGACCCTAAACACAAAACCACTGGGTTACTCGTACACATGATCACGCATAACACAAGGCTCAGTCAAACCTGCAGACTGCATAAGCCTCTAGTCCTGTGGTTTTAGAATATCAGACATTTTAGTGTCTTTGCATTCAGTTCAATAAGAAAAGATATAAATCAAATCTGTGACAAGCACAGTCTAATCAATCTACCTCCTCACCATCGAGACCAGCAACGCCCTCCTGCCCCAAAGCTCCTCTGGATCCCTGACAAGGCGACAGAAATAACTGAGTGATGAATCATTGAACTGATTGTTTCTGAAATGGTTGCACAGACCGCTCCATCACGACGCTACTCTTGTTTACAGCATTTCTGAAGCATGTTCCAAAGAGCTCAGTAAAATAAAAGCTTTACCTTGTCTCCTTTGACACCAGCTGATCCAGTTGGTCCCTGAGGTCCATTTTGACCCTAAATATAAAGAAAGTAAAGCAACAATTGCACAAAAAAGACTTCATATTCCTGCTCTATAACCTACGCTCAGCTTGGGGATGAGAGTAGGTTCTAGAGTTTGGTGTACCTTAAAATATATTTAATAGAAAACTAAAACTCAAAGCTCATTCATGACATGACGTTTATACTTCACAACAAAAGGATAAAAATAAACTTACTGGGTAACCTGTAACTCCAAGCAGGCCAACTGGACCTAGTGGCCCCTGGTCTCCTGAAAGGCCACGGGGCCCAACCTCACCCCATGGTCCAATGTTGCCCTGAACACCCTGGAGGAAAGAAAACATGATCTAAACCTTCTGTGTATCTAGACAAATGTTAGGTCAAGTCAGGTTTATTCGGGTATATGAGCTATATCATTCACAATGTCTCAACTGGCTTAACAGACCCACATTAGCTCAAAAAACAAGCTTTCTGGGAGAAAAAAAATTAACAAAAACTTAAACACGAAAGGAAAGAGGGAAAAATAATCTTGTAAGGTAAGCTTGTTGATTGTAGAGTTCAAAGTACTGGTACAAGTGTCATGTGCACAGAAGTGTAAAGGAGTGTAGCTGTAGTTACAAAAAAGCTATTAGAAGAAGGGCAACGTGGTCAATCAATGATCAATTAAAAAAATAAAGTAAATGCTACTAACAGTATGTACGGTGCAAGCATATGATCAAGACTTAGACTTGACATAAAGCTGAAGCTACAAAGGCAGCATCATGACAGAGTGCACATTGAAAAGGCTGCTGGTGCAGCTCGACTTCTTTCTCTCTAAAAGGGGGATTTTAAACCAACCACTTTCTAATGTAATATCTCTTGAATATGTTTGCATTCTATGCTGAAATAAACAAAAGTGACGGACGGATGGATGAACGGATGAATGGATGGACGGATGGATGGATGGATGGATGAATGGATGGATAGACGGATGGACGGATAGACGGACAGATGGATGCATGGATGAATGGGTGAATGGATTGATGGACGGATTCATGTATTGATGGATGGATAGATGGATAGATGGATGGATGAATGGATTGACGGATAGACGGACAGATGGATGCATGCATGAATGGGTGAATGGATGAATGGATGTGTTTGGATTGAATGAAATCATCTTACAGGAGATCCTCTGTATCCCCTTGGTCCAGGCATGGCCATCTCACCCTGAGCACAGAACATAAACACTTATGTGTAATCAGATACAGTAGCACTCATAGTGTAGAAACTACAGTGAAACTAATAAGTGAAATAAATCACTTACTCTGCGGCCTTGTTTCCCCTTTGGACCCTCCTCACCTCTCTTGCCCTTCAGAACAAATTGAACGAGGTGAACGCCACATTAAATTGCAAAATGTATACCACGAGTGAATTACCAAGTGAACACATTTGTCCAATGTGACAGAATGATGCAGCTTATATTATTGACAGACATGTATTTTGAATAAAATGCAGGCCATGACAAACATGAAGATTTTAACTAACAAATACCTTTAGGCCTTCACTTCCTGGAAACCCTCCATATCCTTCTTTACCTTTAACCCCCTAAAGAAAACCAGCAGTCCATTAATCTCAACATCATCATGGCTGCATCAAAAATATCGTATGGTGGCACTTCGAGACATTCGGAGCCCCGTTATTCCAAAAGATTGCACTGTAACATCCTAAAAAACCCGATGGTGATGTTATAACTCACTCTCTCTCCTGGCTTTCCTGGTGTCCCCTTCATCTCTCTGCTGCCAGCTTCTCCCTGTTGATTGACACAAATGTACAGAAATATGAATCCACATATTCCATTAGCACCACATACTCATATAATACAGTACACAACATACAAACATACAGTAATGTGGTATGGATATGTAACTACACGTGAATGCATGAATAACTGTTAGCTTCTTGCCATGCTGTAACACATCCCATTTACGTTCAACAGAAATGAGATCTTCTTTTGTTTCAATAAATAAGAGATGAAATCACATTTCACTCCAGGAAACAAAGGTGATTAGAACTCACACTCTTCCCTACGGGTCCTTGGAGGCCAGAAGCTCCTGTCTTCCCAGGCAGTCCCTGTGTACATTTTTAGAGGACTATCAGTTATCCATTTGTTTTATAATAAATGTACTTGTTCAGTGTTTATTAAAGAGAGGTAAACTCACTTTTAGTCCTGTAGGTCCAGTGTCCCCATTCATTCCTTCTGAACCAATGTGTCCCTGACAGAAATATGATATTAGGTTATCACATATCTGTACCTATTCTGTGTTACCTCTGATGTTATTGAGTGGGGTTGTATGAGATGCTTATCTATAGTGTATTACTTGCATTCAATGACGGTAGGCATGCTCCCAGCTTGGAAAAGTAGACAGGAGTACCAGCATGGATGCTAACCAATGTACTGTTGCAGACGGGGACGGCCGCAAAACGTACTTTAGCCACCTAAGTGTGCACTATGTTTAGAATATGTGCACCGTTTGTATTCCATCACAGAACAAGGGAGTTGCTAGTCTATCGCTGCCTCAATCAATTAGTTAGAGTTTTTTTTTCAATGGAGTCTGGTAGTTTTGAAGAGAGCATATATGGGTACTAAGGCTTCAGTTCTCTGTAAGAAAGGGCTGTCTGACAGCAAGGTAAAGTGGTGAAAATATTCTAAATATAGCGTACACTGAAACCAATATACATTTTTTTTACACGGTCCATGGCTAAAACACCTTTTGCCGCTGCCCCCATCCACAGCAGTACATGGCATTGACTCCGTATGGTTACTCCTGTCTACTTCTCCAAGCTGGGGACGTGCCAAACGTCATCGATGGCTATGGATGCAAACCTCATTCAACCCCACTTCAAAACATCCAAACTATCCCTTGAATCGTCCCACTGATGAGTAATTTCTGAGAAATATAGTCCTTTATTCAAAAAAAGAGAACACCACACTTAAACTTATAGGATGTATATTGCACCTAATTTTGGTATACTAATCAACAGCATTTTTTCAGATTGTGCTGTTTATCTCCAAAACTACCAATCACTTTGTTGCTTTGGAAAAATCAGTGGAGCTTACACAACATTAATTAGAGAGGCCTTTCTCGTCCGGAGGCCGATGCTACACTTACATGATGATAGAGTTTATGAAGGTGAAATGTGATTGAACAAAGTCAAAAACAAGAAACATATTGTTGGTTGGTCTTACCAGAGCTCCAGGAGGTCCATCCTGTCCCCTGTTACCTAAATGACCTGGAAATCCCTAAAATGAGACACAGATAATGTGAGATCTTTATGTAGTTTTTTTGGATGAAATATATGACTAATTCAATTCCAAAATTGCCGTTATCTGTACTGGAGTGAAACGTTACACGACATTCATTAACCAATACTTAAAATTACTCAAATAATATCATCCTCCAAGTATTACAATTTTAAATCAGACTCATCATTTTAATAGCCAACAATATTTGACATTATTTATATAATTCTGATCACCTTCAGGCCTTTAGGTCCAGTAACTCCAAGGACTCCAATCAATCCCTACACAAAAGGTTTACATATATAAAACACATGGCCTCTTTAACATCTATATCAGCAACAATTTGAGAGGTACCATAAACCTACCATAAACATACCATAAATTGCATAAACATTATTTTTGGACAGACTAAAATTATAGACTTATAAATAGACGTTTAAATGGGAAATGGCTGTTGTTTGGAAAGATTTTTTTTAGTCTACAATCTACAGATATAATTGTAAAGATATAATAAACAGCTTCAAAACTATGTTATGTTATGTAACTATGTTAAAACTGTTAATTAAAGCCATCTAATCACACGTATTATGAAAAACTATTAAAAATGAACAGTGAGTAGTAAGTGAATATATGTTGGGACTGGACGCTGTGGTCACACAAGGACAGAATAAAAAGTGTAGCCACATAGGAACCTTAATACCAGGTTCTCCTTCACGTCCTCTCTCTCCAGATTTTCCCATCTCTCCCTGGAAGCAGAAACCACATCAGTTGTGCGGATTTAGCACAATGACCAACATCTGGAATAAACTTCATCTCCACTCACTCATACTCACAATTGGACCTGGCATTCCAGAAAATCCTGCTCGAGCTTCTCGACCCTTTGACAGGAGAAATGACCATAATTGATGAGGATGTATTGTGTACTCTACGTACATACACAAATATTAAAATAAAGGTGGTCTTTAATCCTTTTCCCACTTATTCCACATGAATTAATATGTGCAGTATGCATCTTTGTCCTACCTTGTCGCCTCGAGGTCCAGGAACTCCATGAATGCCATCTGGCCCTCGATCTCCCTACAAAAATAAATACTTGTATATTATGCTTGTATCCATTCACACACATGCACAATTTCACAATTATTTTTCAACTGAAATGTTTCTATCTACTTTCTTAAAACCCACCTTCAGTCCATCTTTTCCCTGCTTCCCTTGCTCCCCCATGATGCCATCAAAGCCCTACAAGCATGAAGGCGGGTATATAAAACATCCCTCGATTATTACCGTCGCTATAGCATCGTTAGTGAGCATGTCCTCACTCGTCACGTTTATTTCACTCACACTGGATCCAGGAAGTCCTGGTGGCCCTGTTGGTCCTCCAAGTCCCTCAAGTCCTGAAGGGCCTCGACGCCCCTTCAATCCTTGTTTACCTGGAGGTCCTGGAGGTCCCTGTACACAAACACAACAAGACGTTGAACTGAGCTACTGATCAGTCAATAAAATGATCCACAATCAACAGGAGCTATCCATCTTACCAGGTCTCCCTTGAACCCTGGATCACCCTTATCACCTCGCTTGGCTTTCGCCCCCTGGTAGAGAAAAGTGCACATTTAGCTCAGTGCTTAGGAACCAAAATGGCTGTTGGAGTATAACTTGATATGATTACAGTCATTACATATTTCCATACATTATAATTGAGATAAAATTGCTTTAAGTAATCTTACAGGATCACCTGAGGGTCCAGACTTTCCTGGATTCCCATTGGCTCCCTGAAGTTAGAAAGAAAAAACATATACTCAAGCTTGAATATGACATCACTACAGCACATCTGAGTTCATATCTTCTCTAGGAATTAATTTGGCTTCTGCAGAAGGTTTAGGCTTGTTATCTCACATTAAGTCCAGATGGTCCAGGTTCCCCTATATCCCCTTCGTCTCCTGGATTACCCTGGTGACACACACAGACCGCAGATAACAGAGTGACCCTAAAATGATGCCGGCAATCTACTGCTGAATTGTTTCTGGTTGTGTACTCACAGGGTCTCCTTTAGGACCCGGAGGTCCACCTGGTCCTGGTTTTCCCTGTGAGAAAAAGACAATCAAGTTGTTTTCTTTATTCATCATATTTTGTCTGGCGCATTATTGGTGAAATTAAAGGAAAATTGGAGTAATAGTCCTCTCTTTGTAAAGAAGGAACTTCTTTTTTCATCTACAACTTTAACCAACTTACAATAAACTCACTGATTGTCTGTTTCTGGTTCTGACTCTGATTCTACTATAGAATGAAACGCTTCAAAGGGTTTTGTTGTACCTGGGGGCCACGGACACCGGGAAACCAAACTGCTCCATCAGGACCACGCTCTCCCTAAAGCAACACACACACACAATATATTTACAGGTTCGACATTTTTTAAGGTAAATAAATGCCATTAGCTTCTAATTATTTCATCTCTGTGAGAAAGAGTACATCTGTAATTGTCACCTGTGGTCCAGCTGCTCCTCTGGCACCCAGTTCACCTTGATGACCCTGATGGCATTAAGTATTGTTTCAATGTCAATGTTTATGAGTTAATTTGGATTATAACTTGATCAACTAGTTGTTTTCTTACCGGAGGTCCTTTAACTCCGAGGACACCTTTAACTCCTCTGGGGCACATTTTTCCCTGATTAGAGGACAGATAATGAATGCACTTCATATCTCATTATATAACCCAACATCACTATTTTATCACTTTTATGAAGACATTGCAGTGGTATATTACTTACAGGTGGGCCTGGTGGTCCACCAAAGCCTTGAGATCCAATCTCTCCCTGAAAATAATCATCAGTGTATAAACAAGAACAGCAGTGGTATCACAATTTTAAAGAAAACAGGGCTTGGAGTCTGATGATCAATATAGTTATTGTTATTTATACAGATATAGATAATTGTCACCCAGTGAGCTGTATGACACTGACCAGAGGTCCTGATAATCCTAGAAAACCAGGAGGACCCCTAGCTCCAGGCAGTCCCTGTAAACAAAGGACAGTTAGAATGTCACAATGTAGAAAGTCACAACAAAAAGTAATTGTTTTCAGCACAGCCAAAAAACTCTTGTGTATTTTTTAAATTGACTATAATGATGCGGCAAAAAAAGGGGCTGTCATTAAAAAGTAAAGTAATCCGTACTTACTATGTAGCCAGGGACACCAGCGACGCCTCTGACACCTTTATTTCCCTGGTAACAACAGACAGCAAAATCAGAATTACATACACCAGCACTGTGTGTGTGTGTGTGTGTGTGTGTGTGTGTGTGTGTGTGTTTCTGTGGTGGAATCTAACCTTGTCCCCTTTTTGTCCTCTGTGTCCCTGTGGTCCAGGCTCGCCATGATAACCCTAAAGACGGAGAAATAGGGGTTTGACAAATAACCATAAACAAAATGCTCCAGTCTAAAGCTAAAGTGACAACTTCACAAAAGAATACCTGACACTTCTGTAATACTCAGTGCTTACAACTTGACAAGTGAATTTGAGCCACTCAAATAGTGTGAGGCTGAATGCAACAATACTAAGACATTTTGACAGATAGATAGATACACATGTATATTTGGGTCTCCATAACTTCAGTCCCCATAACATTAGAAGTCCAAGCCACTCTTACCCACTCACCCAGCTCCCCTTTGCTGCCCTTCTCTCCTCTGTAGCCTTGGGGACCCTATAGGGGCAAGTACGGAGAAAAGGAAATAATTGACATGTAAAGCTGGAAATGACGTATAACAGTTATATCCTTACATAACCATGAAAATACACACATATGTTATATGTCTCTTAGCAGATTTACCTGTTCTCCAGGGAAGCCTGGAGGGCCCGGATCGGCGTCCTGTACTGGGGTGCCATCTTCCCCAGGTTGGCCCTGAGGGCCCGGCATACCTTGTGGTCCACGATTGCCCTGAAGTACACAACGCAACATGTAATGCAGTTTGCCTGGTCTCATGAGAACTTCTGGTGCGGAAAAACAGATAATCTGATAATATGTTTTCTTATTCCTATTACAAATCAGTGATGAAGTAGTTAATTGAATTGTATTGTACCACAATGTACTGTTTTTTTAATCATATTGTTAGTGTGCTTGCTGTTGAAATCATATTATGTAGTAGTAGTGTTTGTGTGTTGGGATATTGAAGCGGACGTCGTAGTGAAAATGGATATCCATGTTGTTCTACATTTATAAAGTCAAGTCAATGCATTATCAATCAAAGCCACCCTGTAGTTATGAGTTCAATGTGGAGTTTCGGTCACAAGGACTGCAGAGACTAGTAATGTACAGTGTGTGAAGCTTAGCATTGTCTTTCTAAATGTCTGGCACTTGAACAGGTGTAAGTATAATACTCTGTATTAAAGTATTGGGTGATGAATTGAGTCATAAGAGGCGCAAAGCCTCGTTGTAGATTCTAATAAGATGCAAATAAAGTAGAGGTACCCACGATTTTCCCTTGAACTCCTTTTCGTCCTTGTTTCCCGGTAATTCCAGGTGGTCCCTGGAAAACAAAATTAGCCACAGGAGTCCTTTAACAATCTCTCGTTTGGTATTGTCATGGTATGCTAATTGCCTTTTCAATTAGTCAATAACACTTTTGTCTACTTACAATTGGTCCATCATCTCCAAGAGGTCCAGGAGGCCCCGGAGGCCCCTTACGTTTCTAAAGATAAAAACAAACCCAGTCACAACATATCGTCATGGTATACCAGTACATATGTATTTCTTTTACACTAGATTCTATTTACAAAAATGATACTTGTATATCAATCTTGTATTGGAAAAATACAGATTTTAGGTGCATTGAAGTTTTTTTTTTTTTCTAACAAACACCCACCGGCCACGAAGAAATCAGCTTTTTATAGATCTTCTTTTTCTGCAATGATATGACAAAGACAAGACTCTTTTTATCTTGTAAACCTCTTTCTCTTACAAATCATCCTCGAACCAATTTGCATTGAATATATACTAAACTTCAAAACAATAACCCAAACATGACAAGTGTCATTATCAGCAAAAACAATCTGAACTAAATCGGCAAACTACTTATTTCACCAGATCCAAATTTAAACAAGTGTGTACCTTGAAAGCCTCCCACTCTTCCTCAGAGGTTTTAAATACAACAATGGCAGCTATCCCAGGAGGACCGAGGGGGCCTCTATATCCTGTCTGCCCGGTCCTGCCCATAACGCCTTGATAACCCTGAGAGGACAGAAAACAATGTCTCTTTGATGGGAAAACACATGATGAGTCTAGATTACATCGTCTACATTTCGATCAACGTGGATAGAGATAAAAATCTGTCTTTTTTATTCACAATTGATAATTCAGGGCTCCATTTTTGACCACTAGGGTGCAGAAGAAACCCACAAAAATCTGACAAAAACAGCCCTGAGATTAATTTCCTATTGAGCCCTGCAAATGTTGTGTCATTTAGCTTCAGTAGCCTTCAGGTTAATATTTGATGTATTGTATATATATATATATATATATATATATGTAAATAAATCTTTAATTTGCTCTGTCTTGCAGAAATAATTTCATATGGCACCAAAATGTGCTGTATCTGAGGTTTAATCAGGGGTGGAGGTGTTATTGATGATCTGACAAAGTGAGTCGGCCAATTTCCATCAAACACAAGTGATGAACTATCAGAAGTCATGCATATGAAAACAGGACCCATGGTTTTGGTTGGTTTAAGTAAAGTTAATTCAACAGTCTTATAAGGGCTCACACAGTTTAAAGTTATATTTAGTATTATATGGGGGAAATACAATCGTATGTGTATTAAATATATATATAGACTATCAACATTCATTGATTTTGTGAGAATTACAAGTTGCCTAAAAATGAAAAAGAAGATAATAGAATGGACAAATTAAAATGCTTCTCTCAGGCAGAAGACGAGATGATAATTACAACATGAGCATCTTAGCTGAGTCGCATTTCTTTCAAAACACCTGTAAGGTTGATATTCACTTATTTTGTATCTCTGGTCTGTTTGACCAACTCTTGAGAAAAATGTATTTTAGTTTGCTAGATAGACACTAGCTCTCTTCACCTGCCACTTCTTTCTTTACATTCTTTATGTTATTTATGGCAAACATTTCAACTGTTCACCCCTCACTTTTAGCTATGTACCATTACTTTAAAAAAACGCTAACTATGTCAATCATGAATCCCTTTTAGCTATTTCAACAGTTTCTCCATTACTTTAAGATAACTATTTTAACCATTTAGCTTTACATTACCTTTAGCTAACTGCTTCAACTGCTCTGCTTGCTGGCTAGTTTTTACACACTCTAACGTTGTGTTCAGGTGTTGTAGCTGACTCTATATCAGGATATATCTTTAATATTTAAAACCCCGCCACACTTTGACCCCACATTTCCCCCCCATGTAACACTACCCCAAAGTGACTGCAAAAATACAAGTAACTTTACAGTTTCAAGCTGCACACAAGGCAGCAGAGTTCTGAAGTATGTTTGACACGCATCTGTTTTGCACTCTGAGCAATTCATCTCAAATTACAGGTTTTTTGATTCAAGGTTTAATTTAAATCATACTTTGTCTCCTTTAGGCCCTGGTGGTCCTGATAGCCCAGGTGGACCCTGCAACCCCTGATAAAAGAGCGAGGAAGAACGGTTAGATCTGGATAATCATCCCGACCAAAAATAATGTACTGTGACATGTTAGGACTCATTGATAACAGCAGGGTCGGATAAAAAAGTTAAACTTTATCTGTGCAAACAGAGAAGTTAAACCACAGCAGAAGATATCCCATGTTATCATGTCGGAATTCGAATTGATCAAATGTTTTTTTCTGATAATGTTTGTGAACTTCTGGTACAACAACACTGTATACAGTCTTTAGTCTGAAATTCCAGAAGGGTCACAGTACCACAGTTTCCTCCCCTCTACCACACACACACTCGCATGTCTTTATAGGTACTAAAATTGACACAGATACATGTTGCCATCTCAGACATCGAATCAGCTCCTCGCAAACTCAATTTCATACAAGGTCATGACAGAAAATGAGATGAGAATATCACACAAATGTGATTAAAATGTCCTATGTGGTTTGTTTATGCATTTATAACCTTATTAACACTCTGTGCTCAGTGTCACTGTGAATACATCTGACGTTTAAAGTATACCAAGACCCATACCGACAAAAATAACTTCAAATGTGAAATCCAGCTTTGATTATTGATTATGAACATTTACACAGGTACTGCTAAATGTAAACAATGTCTTACCCTTTGACTCCTGATCCCAGGTCTTAATCCTGCCCCCTGGCGTCTGACTGTGTTTGTAGGCGGCTGATTGGCTGCTTTAACTGTCTGCTGTGGGGATTCAGTCTGTGATTTGATGAAGGAGCCTTCAGCACCGAACTGGGAGATCCGATCAGGAGTGGACTGATTATAATCCTCAGAAATGGCAGAACCATTATCAAAACTTTCTTTTTCCTTCCCTGCATGCCTTTGCACTTCCTCCTCCTCGAAATCTATTTCGTCTGTCTCTGTCCCGCTCGCCTGCTCTCCACCTGGAAGTTGCTGTGGTGATGTCTCTGTTCTGGGTGAAACATCCATTTCCTCTTTTTCTTTCATCTGACCGGCTGAAACATTACCCGTGTCAACCTCCGTGTTCCTGGTGCTTAGTGCTTCTGTGCTTTGGACTGGGGAAGTTAAAACAGTCAGGTTTGAGTCTGGATCTTTCTGAGGAGCAGCAAAGTCCTCAGTTACATTTTCTTCTGTATGTCTTAAGAGTTTAGCTGGTGGATCTTCTGAAACTGGAGGTATGGTGACTAGTGGCGATGCCTCCTGTCTCCCCTCCCTTACTCCTCCTTCAGATGAAGGGTACACGCTGGAAGTGACAAACCCTGATTCTGTGATGGGGCCTGAGATAAGAGTAGATCTAGTAGCAAACTGTGGCCCATTAGAGAAAGCAATCTCTGTACTTGCAGTGTCTGCATCTTCTGATGAGACACCTGTTGCTGTGGGGTTCTCGGGTTGAACGTTGAGGCTTGAAATGGTTGTTTCAGCACTTTCCTCGTTACTTGTTCTGGAATCTTTCTTTGCTTCAACGATCACTTGATGAACTTGTCTCGGGTACTGAGCAGTTTTAAGAGTGTGGCCTGAAGGAGTCCTGGTTATGATACTTCCTTCTGTGCTCCACGGTTCCGCCGTTGTCTCGAATATGTCAGGGTGAGCATTAGAAAACTGCTCACTTCCAGTCAGAGAGGGAGGCTGCGGTTCAGTATTTCCACCTGGATTTACCTCCTTACTCACATCTTTTGGTGTATCCTTTTCTCTGTTGGTTGAGTTTACAGTCTGAGTGTCTGTGCCAGCCTGGGTTTTCACTACAGCTTTGGTGTGCACAACCGTTGGACCAGGATGTGACTTCAGAGGGGAAGTGCTGCTCACTGGATCCAGTTTTGGTGTCACCTCAGTGGGACCGGCCTGTAGCGTCGTGTCTTGGGGGGCTATGGGTGATACTCTGATCTCAGGCTGAATGGTCACCTCATCTAGAGCAGCAACCTCCTGGGTAAAAGTCTGCATAAGGGAACATGTTACCCAACATGCACTGTGTGTGCTGAGCTCCTTTTAAAACAACAGAGATATGAGAGCAGACATTTTTTTTCAATTCTGGACTGTTTTGTAATTGCCTCCTCAGGCATCCCCAGCCCTATCATTAAATAGCTCTCAAGCAATTTAGCGATTTGTCCAATCTAGGACTTTATTAAATTAATAAATACCGGCAGTTAAGTAATAACAATAATTAATCCCTAAGGGATGCAATCAAACAAACACACAGGGATGAAGACCATGCTTCTTAAAGCAGAAATTACAGTTCAGTATTGTTGCTCTCTTTGGCGACTGTTCAGAAATAACAAATTACAAATTACATTTTAATGATGTTAAACCTCTCTGAGCAAAACACTACCGTAGTGGCCTCTACAGACAGACAGGACGAGTGGATGAATACTTTGAAGGACTATACATTCACACTAACATGTCATCTATGAATAAAAAGCACTTTTTTCCACATATTCTTCCTAATAAGACCTGTTCTAATAAGACTGTGTGGGCGTGTACAAACTAAGCTTCATTGTTATTTCCCTGAACCGCCGATTAGTTTTGTTGCTTGAAGTTTAGCGAGCTCACATAATTCCCAGCAAAGCTCCATCTAGCTTTAACCTGTTCAGGCTGTGGCTTAGATCACACTTAAGGTCAGACTTCAGATAGACATCTAAATTCATTGGTTGCACAAAACTGTCTCGGTCTTGGAGGACTAATTTGCCCTGCATTCTGGATAAATTAAGAATTTCTATCATACTATAAAACATGGCAGAAAATGTTTTAACAGCGAAGACTGTAACAATACAAAAAGCTAGCATAAACTCTCAATGCAGTGCTAACCGTGTTAGTCTTTCTAACATTTAAGGCTTAAAATAAGTCAGTCTTTATAACACTAAAGATTGTTCTAAAATATATCTGTGATCATCAGCCAGTATAAATGAAATCACCTGTGTTGGAGTGCCAGGCCTTTATCTATAAGGGGTCAGGTTTAGTGATAAAATGCTGCACATAAAAAGCAACAAAAAAAAATCTATTTCTAATACGATAGTCTTTATTTGTTGTTTGATGGAGCACTGTGCCTGTCTGTGAAGTTTGTAATATCAGGAAAATAGAGCAACAAAGCAGATGTTATCAGGACGTAAACCTTGTGAGTAAAGTCCTGCAGTGTTTGGTAGCTGACAGTAGTGTGCTGTTTGTACCTGTGTGTCTGTCAGAGCTGAGCAGGTGCTGCTGTGATCTCGACAGTGCTGCCCTGCTGCTGTTGGATCTCCCAAGACAAAGATCATCTGCTGGATGGTGCCCTGAACACACCACAGACAAACAGGAGACAGTAGGTGACCATTTTGGCCCCTGTACTTCACAATGCCTGCCATAAAGTTATATATTGGTATTATTTTCCTTTTTCACTGAATATCACCAACTTCAATCCTGATCATCAATATTCATTCATTTTCCTTTTCTGAATTTTAAAACCCCAGTCTGTTAATACATAATGTCACTGTATTTTATGAAAAGAAACTCACACAAAACGGATTTTTTTTCTGTATACTAAATGCTAGGTTTTCTTTTCACAGTCAGGGAGATGTCAATGATTTGCAACAACATTCATTTTGATGAATTTAATTGTTTTGTGTAGTGTCAAATTTATTTAAAAAACTCCCACTTTTACCTGAGAGGATAAAAATGTCCTCGTCCTAAAACTGCTATAAAAATACTACATATTTTTATTATTTTCCATTTTCATTGAGTTACATTTTTTCAACAAACATAAGTCCTGATCATAACTACCAAATCTCCATTAATATTCAGAATTTGAACCCATCGAACGAGCAAAAATACTGTCTGGGATATATAAATCATTAGCAGCAACATCAGAGAAAATGACTCAAACTGGTGGAAAATAATAAAAGCTTCAATTTTTATACCAGGGATCAGATTTCAGTCCCGATATTATAGAATGTATGATTCTAGGCAGCAATGGCCAAAGTGTTTCAGTGAAGTGTCTGTATTTTGGCTACACAATTTACTATAGATTTATTTTAGGAGCCGATGTTGAACAAAAAATTTAAAAAAACTCACACCTAATATAAAATTCAAAACCCCCAAATATCCCTAATGAGGCAGAGTTTCGTTCCAGACTCTGGCTTATAGCTTCAGTGAAACACATTTTATTTTATAGCACTCAGCACATATTGCTGTCTGCTACAGTGTCTTTTTCTATATTACCACTAGCAGGCGCAGAGGTCAGAAACATTCCAATCGTACACGTATGGCTTTGAAGGTTGCATATCATTTCAACACTGTTAAACTGCACGTTTATAACTCTACAGCTGTAGTGTAGCACATATAAAATGTAGACATTAAGATTTGAAGTACCCTAAATTAGAGCTTGAAGAATGACTCAGGGATTTTTTTGGAGAGAAACAATAATATAATCACAGTTGGAATCCTCCATCTATTTTCCCATGGCCTCCAATCCCAATGGTCCGACTGTGCTGTGGGTCACATACTCCTGCCATTTTGTTTTAGCCCTTTTCATTCAGTGGAGAGAAAAATGAGCAGTGGAGAGAAGAAATGTAGGCAATTCTGGCTTGATTGTAAATCCCTTTTTTTAATTGACTCTTTGTTGATCTAGTAACTATATTCTGAAAAATATATTTAATGTTTAGGCTTGAATTGAAATAAGTACAAATGCATAATTTAAGTGGACTATTCAGTCAGTCATAACAATAAGGTGTCAGCAGTCAACATGTAGCACTGAGTATAGGTAAGATTATACAGATTTGTAACTACATGCGTCACTCCTTTTGAGTTTTTGAGGTTAAATTCATCTTTCTACAATTTCCCACAGTGACAAAGACGTGGACATTTTCTGCACAGCATTTCACGAGATTTACTCGTTGATGTGAAAATCTTCTCCTGCCTTTCATCCTCTCACATGCACACGTAAGAAGCCCCCAATCCTGACTCAGAAATATGTGAGCTAATGGTGAAACACCATGTAACTCACTCAAGAAACTGCTGCGCGGTCAATAGCAATGCCAACATTTACAGGAAAACACTTAAATCTCATTAAATGCAACAGAAAAGATAGTTGAAGATAAGATGGTCAAGTATGATTTCAAAGCCTATAAAATGGCAGAGAAAACTAAAACTAAAAGATAACAATTCCAATACATCTTGATCTAATCAAATGATCTGAAAAAAATAACCTTTTTACAAATGAAGCAAGTTTTTCAAAGCCCTTTGCTTTCATAATTCATGAAGAGATTAAACAATCTAAACCAACGGTTAATCTTTAGGTTTCTAAAGTTCACCCCAATATTTTGACAGAGATTAATGATACAGACAATTAGACTTACGCAGCTCAGTAGCAGTAGCACCACCGCAGCACTCTGCATGGCTTCTGATTAAGGTAACTTCTGGACTCCTCTGACAGCAGCTGCTTTACACACTTAAGTTCAGGGGCTTGGAAAACACACACTCTCCCCGGAGGACTGGCCGACCGCACGTTTACAGCACAGAGAAATTATGAACCCAACAGACCAAGCCCCATACTATCTCTCCTGCTTCCTGTGGCAACACAGCGCCAGACAGGTTGGTGTCCACCACTTAACACTCAGCAAGTTAGAACAGAGTGTGAACAACAACAGACACTTAGGTGTGTTGTCTACTGGGGCTGTTGCTGTACAGTAGGTGTAAGTCCTTTGTGGTCAGGGCAGATCGATGGTGAAGGTGAGACTTAGTAGAAAACACAGCTGTCACTGATGTGGGCTTGGGGCTTGGGATGAGGGACAAGCTTCCTGTCCTCATCAGCCTCCTTTCAATCTAGTTTTATTCCCACTCCAACTTCAGCATGTAAGACCTACATTATAGATTTGTATTTACTGTAAGACAAGAACCATCTAAAAGGTTTGCTGTGTTTCCACTTTTCCATAAATGCACAGAGAACATCAATAGATCGTTCATATAGAGATTTTAATTATTTTAATTGATTACACCCATACTTGCCCTGAACTTGAAACAAATGAACCAACTAATGATTGTGTTTTGCTTAATTTGCCACTGAAGTTCACTTTGAGCCCTCCCCCCTTTTTGTTGGGAGGGGAGGACTGTGGCCCAGGTGAGGAATGTGACATTGCGATCTGAAGAGTGAGGACGGCTGTGTCGGGTGAAGTCGGGTCTTACGGTAAAGGGTGTGTGGTGAGGACGCGAAGCTCCTCCCAGCAGCGTTAGGCCTAAAGTGTCGACCTGCGGTTCCAGGCCAAGGTGCCCGGGGACGCTCTCCTGTAGACAGCAGTCCAGATACAACTCTAGCCTGGACAGAGAGACGGACAGGGAGAGGCTGTGCCACAGTCCATCCCACAGAGGAGCAGCAGGAAACCTGTGAGACAGACCTGTGAGAATCTTACAGCAAAAAATGACCAGTGATTTAGTGTTTCAGCTACTGAAACCGAACAGAGTATCTACAGCGTAACACCAGGCGAAAAAGCAGTGTTTTACTGTCCTGACACCCAGCCTGCACAAATATACGAATATTAAAACCCAACAACAACTAAAACTTCAGAATCATTTATGCTGATAATCACATTCAGAAAGTAACTTTGAAGATAGATGAAGATCCATGGAATGAGTTGAAGTATGTTGTGCAGGTTGAAATCAATATGCATTGCATTATTCCATCTTTAAAAAAAAATCCAAATATGCAGACTTGGTCTTTGAGCCCTTTGCTGGGTTTTCAGTGGAGAGTCCAACATTGAAACTAATATCTTCTTATATTTTATAAAATAAATAACTCAAAGCAAAATGCCTTTAACCTCAAGGGAACTAAACCAGTTTTAGCGCTAATGTTTTGTGTGATCTGCAAAGGTTATGAATTTTCACACTGAATAGATTCAAACATAAATGTTTTTCACACATTCAATGGCGGATGTTTGTTTGTGGATCATTAGGTCTTCGTCTGTGGTTGTGTGAGTGTTTATGTGCGCGTGTGTTTTCTCACTCATAGTGTTGTTCCCAGGCACTGACGACAGTGAAGAGTCTTGGCCCCACCTTCAGCTGAAGAAGCTCCTCCCCTTCCTGCCCTAAAATAACCAACAGCGGCGTCTCCTCTGACCAACGTTGACCCAGACGCAGACGCATCAGCACACTCAGCTCCTCTGGAAAACTGTCATGTAAATGTTAGCACATTCACAAATAAATGTACACATACAGAAGACTCTCCCACACACACGCTCACATGCACATTTTTCCTTGCTCGTTCACTGGACATGGACAGTTGTGAGATGAGAATATAGGCCAGTGTAGATTTTACATCCACCGATGTGGTGTCACAGAGAGACTAAAGACGTTCCTCACAGAGAGCCGCTTCACATGTGAATGTAAACTGTATCACAAAGCTGACAGATTCAGGCGGCATTAGCACAGCGCGTGTGTAAACAGTCAAGGTCAAGTTTAACAGCAAAGCCTTCAGCTAAATCCTTTCAACCTACACATCATGGAAAGAAAAACCATCCCGAGATAAACAGGTCTGCCTTGTCAGACCTTGTCAGCTCTGTGGAAATTAAAAATCACTTGAAGCAAAACTGTACAACGAAGTAGAGTAAATGTGTAAATTGGAAATATTCTTAAAATGTTTGATTTTGAACATATTACATAGATTTGTATTTTATTTGTATTTTACCTTTATTTAACCAGATAAGTCAATTGAGAATGAGTTCTCATTTACAACGACGACAAAACTTCCTGTTGTCCTGTTGACTCAATGAAACCAAACCCTATTTACTCACTCAAAAGGTCACCTGAGAAGTAATGCGGTAGGTTTTTACATTAGCTCTTGTGTCGAGCCTAGTTAGTAATACTTACAGAGGGCCGAATACTGTAGCTGTCGGTAGGGACAGTGTGGAATATTGTCCGATCTGATATGCTGGACATCCTCGGTCATCTTCCGTTGTTGACACATTATAATGAGTGGCTGACTGCATGTCCAACAGCTGTAACAGATCCACTTCTGCAAACACAAGACAAAGATAGATTATTAATGACACTAATCATTTCTAACAAGATTCACACTGAAAGAATTCTGTAAATTGATGTATTTGACTAAAGTGGATCAGTAATGCTCTCAATATCAGGTAACAACTTGGTCTTTTGAGGTACAGTTTCTTGTCAGAGTTGCCCAAAATGTTCCTCTGTGTATCACTCCAGTGGAAATATCGAATTCACACACAAAAAACAATCTACAATCAACATTTTCCCCCTCACACACAGCCATCAGAAATTTACCTCATCCTAACTTTGCCTACCTTTCACACCTGCAAGTGTGACATTTCCTCCGTCCCTCCCATGAGCCTTTGCTGTGGCATGAAGATAACACTGCTGAGGTGCGCTGACTTCCCCAAACAGACCATCTGCATGTTTCACTACAAACAAATAAGCTTGAAACCAGAGCACGGAGAGCAAAGATGAGCCCGGCATCATGTCCTCAGTAGACTGCAGAGAAAGAAGTGGTGCTGGAAAAACATGGACCAGAGGGCCGGGCCTAACTGGCATCTCTGTCACTCGGCTCGTGTTCCGATCTGTCAACAGCAAACTAGATATCTCACCTACCTCGCCTCTGCTCTGCTTCCAGGACACTCACACTTTTGCACCTGGTTATTTTGAGAATATGTGGGCACACACGCAGAAACACACAAAATAAAAAGTTCCCAGAGGAGTCTGTGGGAGTTCAGTGAAAACCATAAAATATCATAGTTTCATAAGATTCTGTGCATATAAAGCATCAACCTGTGTTATTTATCCACTCTTTGACTAATGGCATCCTGACTTCTTACTCTACATTTATTTGATACGTTTGTGTGTATGTGCATTCAATCTCAAAAGGAACAAGCACAAGATGTAATTGTTGCAGATGAATTCCATCAAGTGCAGTTATATCTCCTTGTTGTTATTGATCTCGTCTTCTTTTTATGTGTTCTAATGGAGGGATGTTTGCAGACAGTACAAATCTGTTGGTATCCAATTTCTGAAGCCCATTATACCCTTAAGGATGTCACTTAGCCTTTGTATATGATAACACATTTCACTTTAATGATAAACAAACGCTATTGCTAAATATAAAATAGTTATATTCTGTTGGCCTAGGAATTTATAGGTATCATCTTTGTTGTCAAATCTCCAATAAAGGCAAGAATTTCCCCAAAAATATGTGAAAAAAAGAATAAAATGAATGAAAGAGAATATATTGAAAGGTAGGACTATCAGTCAGTACAGGGTTTAGGGTTTTGTTTAATGGTCCTTTGAACAGATATGTAAACACTTCTTTTGTTAAAGTCGTTGACAGGCGTCATGATTCAAATAAAATATAAACGGTGCAATAAATTAAACATGGATTTATTTTGTACATTTTATACTACATATTTACCAGAAAGCTTCTCTTATCTATGAAATCCGGGCTTGATAGGGAACTCTTTGTGCGAGCTTCCCCAGGCACAGATTAGGTTGTTCTGTACAGAGACGGACATCAAGGTTAAGTCCTAGGCTGCATCGTACATGTTAAGCGCGGTCCTATGAACTACAGGCTGAAGCCTGAACCTAACCTGTATACTGTGTGAATCGAGCTTCATAGTCGACACACTTCAAAGGTGGATTCTCTGCGAAAATACATATTTTTCAGTCCAGGACTTACTGAATGGGACTCCAGCAGATGAGTGTGACCTTGTCTGGCCTGTGGATCCTCAGTCCAGATAAGTTCTGTGTTCACATTCCAGAAACATGTCAAACTCAACATATCACACTAACAAAACAGCACGTGATATAAATATACATCTTATTTAAGGGTAACAACAAATGGTTGAAAGTTGGAATGTTCAAAGATATCGACAGTGCTGGGACTGAAAAAAACATGAACATTTCTCTGCCTGCTGTTTCATCATTACTCTGTTGGTGAGGTGGTTTTAAATCACATTTAATATCGTGGATATATTAAAAATGAGGACAATCAGGCAGCCCTAAAACACATCTCTCTCCCACATCTCTCATTGTCACCATGATCATGCATGTGGAAATCACAACACCTCTAGAGCACAGAAAATACCATAATGCTTGATTCTACTGATCGATACATGGGCCCCAGTGAGACGGAAACAAGGTGGCAGTTAACTTGCAGACAAACCATACTGTGCCTGTGATTCCTCTTTTGTAAAAGCATCCATGTTGCATCACATGTAAAAAGGACATTAACCTTTCGTCATCACATGAAAGAAGGCAACACATCCTGAAGAAGACACGTCCCTGGCTCTATGTACCGGAAGAAAATGGCTTTAGTGGCCTCTCTGACGCGACATCGACAGCAGTTATCCAGCACAGAAATGTGAAGAGTGAACATCCTTTTTTGCCTTCACGTAGGCTGTCTGTCCTGCAGATGGTTGTACCTCAGGCTAAAGTCGTTATAGTTCATAGAATAGATGCAGAACACTGGTTCTGTGTGAAATCCCCACTGGTTCCGGTCCTTATGACGGTCTCGTCAGCTTGACATCATGCCGACTGACCTGCAAGAGACACTTTTAGTCCTTCTGATTTTCACACGTCTTCTCTTTTGGTCCAACGATGAACATTTTTTCATAAGGTTTCAGAAGGTGATATATTACAAATTCAGTGGTCCAGTATCCTGAGACAAAGCATCTCTTATTCTGTAGATCTTCAGAATCATTTTCACACCACAGAGCCGACATAAACTTATACTGTGCTGCTCCAGTTGAAAGTACACCATCATTGTTTTCACATAAGGACAGAAACATAACCTTTACTAGAAGTTTTGCTCACTTTAAGGTCTGGAACATGATTCCTTGTATTGGCTATCTATTGATTAGTGACTGTATAATGCCCTTGAACCATGTGAATACTCTTGTTGTAAACAGAAACTACGTTGAAGTCTAAATTGGCAAAATCCGACTGAATCAACCCCTTTTTCATTGCTACTCTTACAACTAGGCACAATCAAAACAGCAACCCTCTCAAATGACCTGAACATAAGAAGGAAAAGCTAAAATACATTCATCGTATTACATTTTTTTTTACATGCTACCTCTATGTTCATCTACACAACACACACTCAGATCAGTTTCTTGGATTCAAAGAGAGGTTTGAACATCTTGGAACGACGACTCACCGTATTTTGTTCAAAAAAACAATCAAAACACCAACTGTTGAGGGAAGGCTCGGCAACGCTTGGGTTTGCTGCTGTGATCGACTTATAGTACAGTGAGTCTCTGCTGTTCTCTTGATTTGGCAACTTTTCTCTATTGAGAGCACACACGCGCAAACACACTCTCGTGTCCACACACACACAGCCTCCCTCCAGCTACAACAAACACACAAACAATCAAACACAAGAACACATTGCAGACAGACACCCAAGTGTCCGGACTAATAGCAGTGGAGTTCAGTCCTGCCTGTTATGCTACTGGTACTGAGAATACAAGTTCTCAGAGCCACAGAGGAGCCTTGTGGTGCTATGTGGAGCTTCTCCTGCATCCTCTTTGTCTCATGGTTTTTAGCAGCGGTCGTCCTCATCTGTGTCACTGAGCAGCTCGCTGGCTCCAGCTGGACCCGCTTGGCCCAAGTTCTTCCGGTAATGCCCGTTAGGAACCTGCCAGGAGTGTCTGAGCTGAGGAGCGGAGCTTATGGCATTGGCCCGTCCCAGGCTGGTTGCCACGGCAGTCTCAAAAGTAAGGGTCTCCTGCCCCTCGCCTGCCACTCCACCGCTGACGTCCACGTGGATCGGTAGGTAGGGCTCAGAGATGTAGCGATGAGGAGATGGGTTGCTTGGTCCTGAAACCTGACCGCCGGATGACCCCTGAGCTGCAGTTAGGGGGCCGCCCTCCTTCTCAGCCCTCCATGGGGTCCCTGGGGAGCCACCAGCGCCATCCTGAGGCTGGGTCTGGTCCTCAGAGGGGGCTGCTGGTGTGGGAGAGGTGTTGGCTTGGCAGACCAGAGGGGAGTAAGAGATGTACGGTCGCGGGCGAGACGGCGTCTGCGGCAGCTGGCGCCGATTACGAGGAGTACCAGACTCTGAGGCTGAATGGGCCGGGCTGCCTGAAGTGCTCACCTGCAAACAACAGAAGCACAATAATGCAGAGGAGTCCTTCTGCAGAGGAGTCCTGCTGGTTTTCACTGGATTCACAGGTACAAAAAAGTCCCTCACTTCATTGTGCGATACAAACCTGCACAACTTTGGGTCACAAATTCTGAAACTAATGCTTTGGTGTGTAATTTAACCCGTTGCACTCCTACCTGTCTCTGTAAGGTGTGTGTGCGTCCTTCACTAGGAGAACGTGACCGTCTCCTTTCACATGATGGATCGCGGCTGCGCTCCTCAGAGTTGCAGCGGGACACGTCAGGAGACAGCAGGTGGCGCCGTTCCTTAGATCGCCCTCTCTCATGACTGCTTGTTTCTCTGTGGTTTATTGGAGGACCTAAGAGGCGGGTAGATTTCAGTTAGTCAAAAAAAATAAATAAAGGGGAAAAAAACACCTCAGTTTTAGGTCAAAACATGTAAAACATCCTTGTGGAGATCACAGTGTTAAACATATCCTAATACATCAATTTATCCAGTTTAAAGGGAAATCCGTATTTCTTTTCACGATATATAAATTACAGGTACAATGATATCATTTAAGGAAATATAAGGAATCTAAATAAATAAATAATAAGGATTAATACTGTTTTATTTTGATTGTTCATACAATCAAAATAAAAATACTCAGTTTGTAATGAGGACTATCCTTGTTGTCACTTTAGCTAAAATATGTTGATTCTGACATTAAAGTCAACTGTGATTCAAAAGCAGCTGAATTCATGCACAGCACTTGAACGGGTTGCAGCAGATACTGTACATGGATTTTTTTGCCCATTTTACTTCCATGACTTCTAAACATTGCTATGAATATGTATCAGGCTGTATGAGGTGCGACGTAATGCAACGTGTGTTCAGTGACCTCTGTAGCTCCTCTGACGAGGCCTGTATGTGCCGTCAGGACTGACTCTCTCCAGAGAGTGTTGCTCCTGCCAGAGGCCGTTCACACACTGGTCTCCGATGGTAGAGAAGGAGCGCTTCATCAGCTTACTGTCTGCTGACATCCCGGGCTACACACACATCAAAGAACCAGGAAGGAATCACATAAGCGACTGCGAATGACGCCTAATATAAACACACTCTCATAATAAAAAAACATATACATGAAGGCATATACTGAAAATGTCTTTTTTTTTTTATGAATTAATTGCAATAGTTAAATTATTTTAAGCACTTTCTCATACAAAATGTGTTTTAATAAAAGTAATTACTCTTTATTACCGGTGGATCAACAGCCAGTCTGGGCATGGAGGACGCTCTGGTAGATCCTGTCCGCTGAGGTGATTTAATAGCTGTTGGGTCCTGCCTGGCCTGCTGCATCACTTGGTTAGACTCCACAACTTCTGGTACCTACACAAACACCACAGAAATGAGGGCTGGTTGTTTCTTGTTTATTTCTCTTTCCAAGTCTCTATAATGATGCTCCATAATGGTTTAACAACAAAGAAAGTTAATTAATAAACAATGCATCCCAGTACAGATGTTGCATATAGTTCATATGTTCGTTTAAATTACAACATTACATTTCTTTTGCAGTAGTAAAACTAGCAAATAATAAGAGGGTGGTTATGCCATTAATGGACTTTGGTCGATCAGATTCATTGGCTAATGAAAATCATTGTGCAGTTTTCTCAATACTACATGTTACGGTTACCAGTGTGTGTAAGTGATGCTGGTGGGGATGTGGGTGGTGGTATGGGTGGTAGGGTGAACGATAGTTGTCGTCATCCTCTTCTTCCTTCTCCTCCCTGGAGCGGGACAGCGGCTGCAGGAACATCTCTTGTGGAGAGATGGGGCTAAGTGCCACGAAACCTCCTCTGGTGCTGAAAGGAGCACAAACGGACACGGCATCATATGTCTATCATTGTTGATGATGATCAAGGAACAGAGGGCAACTGTAAAGTCAGTCAGTGACCAGATCCTACCAGCATGAATAACCACAAACGAATATAGATAACAGTGTGGGTTTTTATATTTACAGAGCAGATCCGGCGCTGTGCCTGAGGAATGAAAGGGATTTGGCATTGCATAGGATTTCTTGAGGCAGAGAGGAGGCATCCATACGCTGGAACATAGGAGCATGTTTCTATGGGGGGAGATAAACACACACAGGGATGGATGGGAAATTAAAACAGGCCCTCCTATAATTACATGTGGACATGGATCAAATTAAAACTGACTGGGTTTTAGTGCACACAATTCTCAGGCAAAATTTTTAACCAAACAGGTAAACCGTACAAAATAAAAAAATTGAAATGATGGCCAAGAGGAAAAGAACAGAATTATGCAATAAAATCACTGCAAATCAGCGACTCCTGGGTGCTTCCTAGGAATACATTTAAATTTTGTCATAATACACCTAAACATAAAAAAAAGAAGCACCTGCTCTTCCAGTTGCTGTCGGAGCTTCTTGGCCTTGCTCTGCTTGTAATAGTCCATGATCATCATGGCGGCATAGATCTTCCCAATGGTCATGTCACTGGCTGAAAAAGGAGAAAGCATCAGACCACTGTTATCAGTACATTATCAAATGAATTACCACTTACTATGAGAGATAACATGTGTTTCCTTTCATTGAGGTGTGAATTAGTGTCTGATGTGACCTTTGTGGATGGGAACCAGCACATCTAACGTCTTCTGAGAGAGATGGGGCCAGATGATACCGATCTCCTTCTGCAGGTCCAGGTCCATCTGATTTCTATCCTCCCCTCCTGGAGATACATATAAAAAAATATATCAAGTGTGATTGAATGAGTTATACACCACAGCGAATGAGTTCCATTAAGGTTTTGACATTTGGTCTAACCTCTGGCTATCTTGATCTCCAGGGCGGTGCGGATGAGGGCCATGAGAGTGGAGGTGAAGTGAACGGACATATCATCGTCCACGGGCATGTTCATCAGGACTAGTCTCTGATGGCAGCGGAGAAAGTATCATAGTCAGACACAAGCCAGCACCATTATACAACATACCACAGTGAAAACGTGCTCAGAGTGGCTGTGGTGGATCATAATGTCTTTATAATTGACTTAAATACTGTCATTATCTACAGATAACAAATTACAGTTTTTGTTTTTACAGTTTTTAAATCTCGGACACAGGCAGGAATGCCATTGTGTTACTCTACAATAAACAACATTTGAATAAGTTTCAGCTCAAAGGAAAAACCTCTCGTTTGCCTACTACTCCATAAATATGTCACAGAGATAATTAGATCATCAAAATCTGATTTCAGGACAACTAGCTTTAAACAAATAATGAGCAACCGTGACCTTTCTGAGCGTCATTACACAAGAAAAAGTTCCCACTTAAATCATAATTTCATACAGTACAGTTTGCTTCCTTTAAATAAAGTTAACTTTGAAATAAGATAACAAAAATACAGCTGATACAGAAGGATGGAGAGGTTTCCAAGAAAACTGTTTTGACAACGTGTCACTGAATGTCAATATCGAGAAGTAACGGAAAAGGCTTTTTTTTTGGGGATCTTGAGACAACAATTTTGCAATCTCAACAAAACAGTCTGAGGTCACAAACAGTACAGACACATTTTTTCAAAATAAATGTTTTTTCTTGCCCTCTCCTGTCCTTCTGTACATTTAGTTCTAAACTCACACGCGAGTATAGCGTTCATCTGCGATGGAGCATGCTGGCAGGCTCACAAAATCACACACACACACACGCACACACACACACACACACACACACACACACACACACACACACACACACACACACAGAGTACATTTCACATTAGACACAGATGTAACATTAGGCTGTTGCAGGAGGCACATGCAGACAGGTAAATGTAAGAAACAGAGGAGTAAGAAAGACATGAACACAGTTGACTGCAGACTTCTACAAATGACAAGATTTAGCATGTAGATGATTGACAACTCTGATTAGTGTTAATGTAAGTGGTTTGATAAATAAACTCCACCAAGACTCTTTCATCAGATAACAGCAAACAGATAATGATGTCTTATTTTCTTCCGCCAAGATGCAAAGCAAAACAAGCAACTCATCACTGTAGCACTTATCATCCTGCCAATGAAAAAACACTTGAACTTCAACAAGCAATACTGGATCATATGCCAACAGAAAAATAATGCTTTGTTTTTTCCAATGTGTGACACACAAAATGAGAGTTTACAGTGCCTGTCCTTGTTGATTAAAATATGAAGGCAGTGCCTGTCAGGCTCTAGTGTTTAGTCTACCTTATATGCCACCTTGGAGGGGCATTTCTTGCCCAGGCCTAGAGGTGGCGACATGTTGGTCAACATCTCATACATGTCAGTGTAATGGATACGACCACTGGGGGCGCCAGGTAGCCATGAAGATGGGGGATGAGAAAGAAAAGAAAAGAGGGAGGGAGAAAAAAAGAGGAAAGAAGGGAGAGAGATGATTTTGGAGAAGAAATTGAGGAGTTTGGGGAGTGTGTGTTCCCAAGGGATGGATGAGGAAAAGATCACAGGAGTGGGTGGAGGGTAAAAGAGAGGAACAAGAATGGAGGAGATACAAGAGAAAGGATTATTCCAACAAGGCATCACATAGAAGTAGGGAGTAAAGTAGGGGAAAATAAAACAGGTTGTATTCTTTCTATGCTGCCATCAGGGCATAGAAATCTGGGAAAAGGAGAAAACATGATGAGCAAAGGAATGACAGCCTCACTGGATCTGGTACAAATATCAAATACTTACACTGTGTAGCCTTGTATGTGTGTGAGAGAGAACTAAACACATCTTTAAAACCAGATCCAAAAGGTAGAAAGAGACAGGCCTCCCTCAAAATGCTCTACAACTGCATCAAAACGAATTTTAAGTGCGTTGATAAAATTATAATCCTGAATGAGGGATGTCCTGTTCCTTAGTACCCTAAAAATCGAGTGTCGTCATTCTTTGACCTGAGTAACACACCCCTAAAGGTCAAGCAGGGCGGTGATAGCTGGTGAAGGGGAGGAAAGGAGGGATAGGAGGAGGTTAGGATGGATCCCACACGAAAGAGGCAGAGGGGTGGTGTTTGTTGGGGGAACCAAACCTTGCATGCCACCCTGTGCGGGCAGTTCTTTCCAAAGCCCAGGGGAGGTGAGATACTGCGTACAACTTTGTACATCTCCTTATAGTGGAGCCTACCACTGGAAAGAACATACATGTCTTTAGTTGTGCATCAATGAAGCCTTGTAGTGTAAGGGGAACAAGGCCTACATGAAACATTTTAGGACACATAGCATTAAATCAAACATTTTCTTTACTCTGTAACAAACACAAACAGGAGCAAACGTGCTGGGCAGACATCCCAAAACTTCCATTCATATGTGTGTATAAGTGTATGGAGTTGCTTTAGTCTGTTAACATTTTACAGCATGACTGTATAACACATCATTCTGTATGAAATCTGTAGCATTGGTCTGCCGATGGATAAGCCTCTGGGGGGTACAGCTAATATTTTGAAGGTTTCCCTTCCTCTTCAAGACTTCCTCTTCTGTGCACCGGCCAATCATTTACAGTCTGATTAGCAACTTGAGACCCCCGAATGGAGTTTGAGTTGAGAGACGACGTCTACGGCTTATCTTTATAAAAAGATATCTGAAAATTAATGCAAAATGCATTTTTTTAGACGATAGCCGATGGGTTTCAAAGATTGCATTTCTGCGGATGTCTTCCGCCTCTTTTGCTCTCCACATGGACTGTTTAACTGCATACAACCAAAGCCGGCTCAAACGTGATTGGTAAATACTTCTCAGACTACAAACAAAAACCAGAGCGCTCACGATCTTGGCCCCTTGCCGACAGATTCTGCATTCATATGCAGATATCTGTTTGTAGAGATTAGTGTGTGAACAGCATTACTTTTAATGAAATGTTAGTGTAGCACAGGGACACTGACCAGGCGGCGCGGTCATACTCCCCCCAGATCCGGACAAACTCATCCAGGTGGTGAGGACCCAAGATGGACGAGTCTCTTGTCAGATACTCAAAGTTATCCATGATCACAGCCACAAACAGGTTCAGCATCTGGACAGGAGGAAGAGGAGAAGCCATGACATTTATTCACATGAGCATGGAAAGTGCTTAAAGGGGGAATTATGAGCATAGTGCTCAAAATAACAAGAACAGCTGCTAATCAAAAAACAACTGTTTTTGTTATTGTCTGCAATTTAGAGGAATCATTTACTCTCCAGTTTCCCCGTCTTACCAGGAAGGAGCTGAAGAAGATGAACGAGACAAAGTAGAAATAAGCGAAGTCGGAGCCACAGCCCCCCTCCGGTCCGGACGTCGGTGCTGCTAAGGGGTCCGTCTCACACTTTTGTCCCCCCAGACAAGACAACATGATCTCCTGCCATGACTCCCCTGTGGCACTCCTGGACACGCACATATTACACAACACCAGGAGGAGGAGGGTGGGTTAGGACTCGAGCAGTCTATCTCACAGCTTATTCACAGTTACGTCTGCCATCTGGTAGGTGCCGTCAAAGCATCGAGACTCGCACCACTCGAGAGACAGCTTTTAGATGCTCCAAATGTGAGACCTTGTTGTGTAGTAGTTATTCATAGATTTACAGTATATTCTCAATGCATTGGTGCTGAAATGTTAATGTCAATGTTTTATACAGTTTTTAATGTTAGTTTTAGTGCAAGTGTAATGCATCTTGCAAGTTGTTCTGCCATGTATAATTTTACAGATTTCAGAGCCAAAGAGATCGATTTTTATCACGTTTAAATTTACATTGTTTTTCTTCACGGCTTATGAGAACAAACTTGAACCTCAACATTGAGACATAAACACAACACTCAATAATGGTCTAGATAGCTATTTCATTATTTGACCCACTTTCCAGAGCTATTTGCAAAGGAGGTAAGTGGTACACTGCAGCCTCTATCACCGCTTAGACACTGAGTAGCCCCTTGGGTACTTAGAAAGCAAAGCTTAACTACCATAACGTTGCAACGTTATTCACAATACATTAAGGAAATGTGTTATTTTGTGAACCAACTGCAGCAATGCGTGTAGTTTGGATCGCTGCTGTATCTCAATTTAACTGAGACTAACTATTCCGGAGTACTGAAGCGAAGCGACGGGATTTAGCAGAGAGTTGAATTTCAGATTGGATCATGGAAACAATGGTGTCTATGTTGATCTGAAACAACCGACAAAAGGTCTAAAGCTGCTTGAAAATCAGGACTGAAGATCTCAAGGTGTCCTACCTGAACAGCAGCATCAGAGCACCAGAGAAGGTCTTGAAGTTGTTGTGCTGCGTAATGTGAGTCTCCTCGTTCAGCTTAATGTTGCCAAACACCTGATTCACACAGATACACACACAAAATCCTTAGCAATGACAGAAATGATGTCATGCCCAGCCGTTATGCATGTGTTTTTTGTGAGCGTTTATATTTCACCATAAAACAAATATACTTATGATGCTGAGGGATGCTGCGTAAAAATGGTAAATGTAGAACATTAAACACCATCTCCACAGAGGCCGATCTACCATGTGTCTTTCTAACCTGCATGCCAATGATGGCGTAGATGAAGAAGAGCATGGCGATGAGCAGGCACACGTAGGGCAAAGCCTTGAAGGACTGGACGAAGGTCCACAGAAGAATCCGGATGGTGTAGCCTTGTCTGAGCAGTTTGATCAGACGGGCTGCTCTGAACAGCTTCAAGAAACTCATGTTGAACGTATCAACAAACTGTAAGAACACAGGGGAGAGGAAGGAAACTGTTGTTTACTAGTGGCGCTGAGAGATGTCACCTTGTCATACACAGGAATACAGTATTACTGTTCACATTAATACTTAAAATCGAGGGAAACTGTGAAGAAGAGAGTTGAAAAGAAACACTCTCTCTTTCAGTGTCAGTCTCGTGTTTTTCTTATTACCTGCAAGTCAACCACGATCTCTGTGATGCTGCCCAACACGGTGATGAAGTCAAAAATGTTCCAAGTGTCTCGAAAGTAGTTCTGTCGAAACAGGAATGATGCTTTGAGTCATTTCTAAAGAGTGACCTTAAAATGTACATTCCGTCAGGCTGTGCGTTGCTCTTTTCTCTCACCAGAAAGCCGAAGGCCATGATCTTGAGGACGCACTCAACGGAGAAGAGAACAGTGAACGCTGTGTTCAGGTGCTTCAGTACGGCCTCGTATGCCGGCGGGGCAGAGTAATACTGGAAATAGAGAGGTGGCAGGGGTTAAACTACGTGAAATCTGTGTTATGAGAAGGATTAAAAAAGCGGAATATTCCCTAACCAGTTCACTGAACTTCAGCCTTGCACCCTGTTGATCTACAGGTTGATGGAAGATTCCTCCAGACCCATAAATAGTGCCTCAGTCTCTGCACCTTTCATCTGTCGCACTATAAAAGGAGTCATTCCTCTAGGGGCGGCAGCCACAGTTAATGAGGTCATGCTAAATAGCAGCCCCTGGACATTATAGATCAATATTTAATACAGGCTGAGTCACCCTGCGCCTGTCTGTCTGTCTGAACAACCAGCACAGCCGAAGAAAAGGCCAGTTCGGAAAATAAACAGTGGCGAGGGAGGGGTGGGAAAGATTAAAACATCCGCAGATCTAAATGAAAACATCACAGTGTGTGGAGGTGGTACCTAAAAAGAACACACCAGTATCTACACATCCATATTTCACCGTTAGAAGTGACACATCTTGGCTTATTTTAAAACCAAAGTGTTAACAGTCGCAACTTCCTGACAGAATATGTTGCTGAGAGGCAACACAAGGTGTGTTTTTTTTCCCCATTATCAAACAGGGATATGTGGAAAATGGCACGTCATCTTTAGGAGTGAGAAGACCGATGCAGATAATGGTAGAAACTGTCACACCGGTTGTTGTCCTCTCATTCTGGTCCTACTGGGAGCTTTTGTCTTTGATTTTTCTCTCATCATTATCCTCACCTTCATCATCAGTACAATGGTGTTGAGAGCGATCATGGCCAGAACGGTGTACTCAAAAGAGGGCGACACCACAAAATGCCACAGACGGTACTGGAACGTGTGCCGGTTCTGGGGCATGTAACGGGTCAGGGGCTTGGCGCTGATGGCAAAGTCTATACACGCCCTCTGAAATAAAGAAAACAGGGGAAAAGGTTTTTTTTTCTGTTTTCTTTAAACTCCAAAGGGAAAAAAATAGATGTTTCCCACAATAAGAAGAATATTTATGGATGAACAAAGACAGTCAGACTACATTTTATCTATTTGGGCTTCATAGACTAGACTGTAAATATATACTTTGCATAAAGTAAAGAGACAGAGAAAGGGAGAGATATAGAAAAAACTGATTAGACAGACTAGAAAGGAGCTTAAGCGTCATTAAACACATAAGAAAAAAGAAAAGAGACAGAGAAAATGTTAATTAGTTGTTCCTTTATCAATCGCCCTTCACCTCATTTTTTTCCAGGCTGCACTCCTCCATCATCTTATCACCCTGTTCCTGGAAGGTGATGATGATGAGAGCCACGAAGATGTTGACGAAGAAGAAAGGAAAGACGACGAAGTAGATGACGTAGAAGATAGACATCTCCATCCTGTTGCCGTGGCTCGGACCTCTGTCCTCCTCTGTCACATCCACTGAGTGCTGCAGAACCCTGGAAGACCAATGACACAATGCTAACTAATGCTAACGCTAATGCTATTAACAGCTCGAGCAACAACAAAGAAAAACCTTCACTGTTTGGCAGGACAGACACAGCACAAGAACAGCAATCATTTTCCTGTAGCACCCACTGAAAATATATCAAACTCCTTAAAATCATTCACAAAATCAAGACTCTTGCATACTTACAGCTACTTACAGCAGCTATTAGGAAGAAACTTTTGTTCACTGGGGCGGGGATCAAAAGCCCATTTGCTACTTAGAGGAGGATATCATTCATTTCCACAGCAGCAGTCAATTAATGAGGGCTGGAACAGTACAAACCCACAAGCACTGTCAGTGAAATATTGGTATAATCTTATTGTGAGATAACAAATGGCAAAGTCTTTGATAAGTTCATCACATATATTATATTTCCTTCATCAAAGGTCAGATTTGACCATTACCAAAGAATAAGCCAGTTGTTAAAAGGTTATAATCCTCATAAAAGCTAATGAGCCCTCTCAGAATGGAAAATGATATGCGGGAAAACTCCTGCTGAAGTTTCTTAACGAGAATAAGAATTAGCACTCATCCGCTGATTCCAGTCAAGACACTCACTGAGGCCATCCCTCTCCAGTGGAAACGGTGAAGAGAGTGAGTAGAGCCCAGATGACGTTGTCGTAGTGAAACTCGTGTCTCTTCCAGTCTCTTCTCTTCACCTCCTTCTTGTCCTTCGCATAGTCTATGTAGTAACCCCTAGAGGAGGAGGAGACCAAATGAAAAAACATTAAGAAAAAGTTAAGAATCATATATCATTTGAAAGGATGTGGAAAGATCATAACATCTGACGCAAATAAAAGAATAATTAAGAAAGAAAGAATGAAGAATATAAATTGGAATGCAGAAAAGGGAACATTACTGGCAGTCCTTCTCGGTGTCCTTCGAACTGTCGGTGCAGTAAAAAAATTTCCCCTTGAAGAGCTGCACAGCAATGACGGCAAAGATGAACATAAAAAGCTTATAGACGATCAGGATGTTGAAGACGTTTTTCAGAGACGTCACCACACAGTCAAACACCGCCTGGAAGAGAGAGAGAGACAAGTGAAGGGAAGAACGTGGTGAGATCAAGGAATTGGGTCCGTGCAGATGTGCACATACTGCAGCAACAAGCAAGCAGGCAGTAAAGGAAGTGTGACATAAATATGCTCATAATAACAGATACTGAAAAAAAGATACAAATTATAGGAGTGTGGAAACACAACCAAGATATCAAAGACATCTTTGACCTTGAGTTTAGGAAGCCTCTTGATGGTCTTCAGTGGTCTGAGGACACGCAGCACTCTCAGAGATTTGATGGTCTTAATGTCCCGCCCTTTGTTGTTTCTGTACAGAAAGACGGACAACGTCAGCATCACACCATTGCAGCTTAGTATTCCTCACGTTTTTAGACACTCCTTGATTGGTTTTCCCACCTTGTTCGTGCATCGTTACATTACGTTTACTCTGACATATTCTACTTATGTTATAGTTTGCCACATTAAAAGTATTCATTCTAAGAGAGGAAGACTTTTTGTGTTTTTTACCCCATCACATTGCTGCTGTTCAATCCCACAGGGGCATCACCCAAAGAGGGAGGGAAACAGGAAAGAGGGACACGTATATCAACAGTTATAACGTCAGAAACAAAATGGAGGAGAAGACAACATTTACAGCAGAAAAGTGTAATTTACAGCTGATTTAAAGACAGTTTGATGTTTAGACATGTGATTAGTGTTTAGACACATGAATTAAAATAAATCGAGTGACTGACGAGAGGGCGAAGGCCACCAACGCTCCCACCACGACGATGAAGTCGAGGATGTTCCACAGGTCTCTGAAGTAGGCGCTATCATGGAGGATCAGACCCTGGTCGATCATCTGAGGACAAGACAAGAGTGTGCCATGAAGAATCTTTCGTCTCCAGGATAGTTTCCAGGGATGGAGCCGACTTTGAATTCATATCTTTTTAGGTCAGTGTAAAGCTCCTGAACAAGTTGAATCAAATGAACATTGAGCCTGACAAGGCTGTTTGTTTCTCCGAGGGTAACATGGCGCAGTGGTCCCCAACTTGAGGACTGGAACACCTACAATCAGTGGCAAGGGGATTAACGGCACAGGAACGAAAAGAAAACTATTTCTGCTGCACAACAATACGCTTATTTCTATTATTTTTGGTAATTTTTCAAGTATTTAATTTAACGTGCTAGTGCTGCAAACATGTAAACATACATGCTTCAGTGACATCACATGTTCTGTTCATAATAATAATAAAATACAGTAAAATTCATATTTTCTGAGATGGTTATCATGCCGTGAAAATCTGATTCAACCTTTGTTGCAAATAAAATGCCACCCCACCCCCCTCCCTCATCCTTCACATTACCAGTGTGCCACCACACTCTTCATCCGTACAATAAAGACCAAAATGCCCCAAAAACAAATCTTTAAAAAATAAAAAACACAATTTCTTGCAATCAATCATCACATAGTGACATATAATTATCATACCATCTTTACACAGTAACCGACCTTTATAATCATTTCAAATGTGAAGACTCCGGTGAACACATAATCAAAATACCGCAGAACCTGCAGAAGGACAGTCAAAAAGGCAGATCAGAAAAGTTGATACATCTAGAATATAACACAGATAATAAACTTGTGTTCTTCACAAGGAGAAATTATTCTCTTGTTGCGTTAATTTCATGACATTTAAGACTATATTTCACTTCAAAATCTCATCTTGTGGATGTATGAAAGTATGAAACAGTCCCTTCAAATGATGGCAGCAAAACACAAGATAATAAGCCGAATTCCTCCCATAAACAACCACTCTTAATGTGTCTTAGACTGCAATTTCCTCACTCATCGACAATTTAACCGCCCCCCATCAAGTCACATAGGTTGCTCTTTGCAAAACAATTTCAAGATTTTTTTTCAGAAACATTAATTCTTATGGTGCTTTTGCTGCTTAGTGTAGATGAAGCCCAAGGCACAGATAAACAATGATTGGGATTGTATCTCAGACATGGGGGAAACAGCAGAAATATTCTGGCTTCTACTTAAGTCATTTAATGTTACAGCTGTCCCTGTGTCAGCTGTGATATATACATGAATGTGAATACACAAACCTTATTCCAGTTAGAGGAGGTGGCTACAGGGTCCTCAGCAGCCAGTGCTATACTACTAGCGGCTATGACCAGCAGGATGGACATTTCAAAGTACCTGAGGTTCACCACGTAGTGACACGCTCGACGCACCCTGAGGGAGAGCAGATGGCAGAGTGGAGATGTGAGGCAGAGGTCAGGTACCATATTTACTAAGAGTGAGACTGTGGCCCAATCCCAATTTGCCCACTAAAGCCATAAACCTTAAGGGACTTAACTGACATCACCTGTCAAATGGTTTAGTGTGAGAGGCTGCAAGGACTTGAACTAGTATAAATATGAAGAGGAAAGCACTGTGTAAAGTTAATATGCCAGGCTGAACACCCATGCGCCGTCCTTTTTTGTTTACCTTTTTTTTACGCCTCCAGCTTCCCCTGGTATACCTGTGTTTAATGTTATAACGCTATGAATTGTGGGTAATTCCCTCAAGCAAAGTCTGCAGAAATGCAAACTTATGGACTGAAATATAATGGCAGCAGGTTTAAACAACAGGGATGAAATCCAATCTAAAGAGATCAAATATCCCAGTGGTGGCAATTTCATCAAGAACATGTGATGTTTGGAGTATCACCATTCCCCTGTGTTATTAAGCTGATTCTCGTGGTGGCAACTTACGGGTTGTCAGGTTTGAAGAGGAACATGCTGTCTGGATTCACAGTGTTGACAGGCTTTGTCTCATCTGCCTCCTCTGATTTACAGGTTTCAGGGTCCTTACTGATGACTGGAGAAGGTCAGGAGAAGAAGATGATGAGGTGAGGACGGATGTGAGGAGGAGAAGAGTCGTGTAGAATGAGAGGATGATACAGTGTGGATACAAACAAGGAAGGAGGCACTTTAAAGTTGCAATCTTAGTGTTCTAAATGGGATTTTAATCTGTAAAATACCCACTGAGAACAGATCTCGCCATCACTAGCTATGGGGACTACACTGCCTTACCACAATAACATGACTCACCACTTCTAAAAAATGCTGTGGATGACACCATTTAGCTTAGGTGCATAGAAACAGGCGGCAACCTCCGGGATTGAAAAGTGAAGGCAATGCGGAATTGCCTCATGTTTGCATTCTCTCTAGTAGCCAGCAGGGGGCGACTACTCTAGGACGATTGTATAGAAGTCTATGCGAAGATTATCCTACTTCTTCAATACAGCATAATGTTAATTTAATAAATTATGGTCCCATTTAGAGTAAAAGAGACGATAAAACAGGGCATGCTTTAGGGCGTGGCTACCTTGTGATTGACAGGTCACTACCACAGCGTTGTCAAGTCTGGGAGTTGTCTGTGTTTTTGTCCTACAAATGTAACCCTTTCACAGTGTTTCTTCAGTTTCAGTTCAGCTTCATCCTCTCATGTATCTAGTTGTAAAAAAAGACCGAAAAAAGGCCGTCCAGAAACCAATGGGTGACGTCACTGTGGCTACGACCACTTCTAATATACAGTCGATGAATAAATATGAAATCGAGCAAGACTCTGCAACTGCATGACCTATTTCTTATCTCAAATACCCGTAATCGTGGAGAGCTCCAAAGATGAATGAACGTTGGGCACATCGATGATCACACTGGAGCTCAGCTGAGATTTGTCATGGTCATGGTCCTGGTCTGTCTCATTCTCTTCTTTGTTGCTCTCTTTGATGACAGGTGGAGACGGTTCTGATTGCTGAGGATGTTCTTCCTGCTTCTGAGGACACTGGTCCCCATTGTGGCTCTGGCTGTCTGGTGGCTCAGTGTCTCCTCCCTCACTCATGTCACTCCGTCTGAAAATACAGACACAAAGACTTTATTTTTAAAACATCTCCAGGTCATTCTAAGTCATTGGCATTAAACATACAAATGGGATGACTCTTGACTGGGGACCTTTGCTGCATCTTATTCCCCTCTCTTCTCCAAATCATTCTTGTCTCTCTTGACTTTGATTTCACCTGTTTACCAAATCCTAATACTAATCCTAAAAGCTGTTGGTCTGTCTCACCTGCTCTCATCAGGTTTGGACAGTTCTTCCGGCTTTTTAGTCTCTGCCTCCTTCTCCTCTACTTTCCCTGGATTTCTCCTCCTCTCTCTGCTGACCGACCGACTCGCCAAGTGGCTTCCATTCCCGGGTGATGACGCCTGACTTCTGGCCCCGCTCTGATGATCACAGTGATGCAGAGCCCTCCTTCCCCGGATCCCACCGTGACCGCCCATCTCAGGAGTCAGTGTGTCAAGGTTATCTGGAGGTCTGAACTTCTTTACTGGCCTGTGTTGACGCTCGCCATTCAATCTCTGCCTCGGGTGCTCGCTGTCGGTGTTGTTGTGTTGCTGAATAACCAGTTTTCCGTTCTCAGGGATGGAGTCCGATTCGTGAGGCTCTGGTACAGACACACAAACATCAGCAAGGGGCACGTTCGTCGCATTCAACGACTCTGTTGCCAGTACCACTGGGGGTTCAGATATGTCACCAGAGGGGGGGGCATCCAGAGGCGTATCCACCGACATGGAGGAGCCTGAAGCCTGGTTCTTGGATGGGGAGTCTAAGGGGTCCGCCAGTTGCTTCAAACTCCCAGTCTGTGTGTGCTCCATGGCCTTGCGGTGCAGTGACAGGGGACGTTCATGTTGGGTCTGGGCTGAAACAGGGGGCCCGTCCTTCTCCTCGCTGGGGCCGCTGAACAGGATCTCTCGGCTGGACATCTGGCGGTGTCTCCGCAGCTGGCTGGTCCTCTGCTCCCACACTGACATGGTCATCCTTTTTCTTCTCTCTCTCCTGGACATGAAAGAGTTAGAGGAGTTGAGTGGTGGGGGTGGACGGCCCTCCCTGATGCTGCCCTGGGTCTCCTCCAGGGAGCAGGAGTAGGTAGGCCGGCTGCGGTGGATGGCTCTTTTCCTGTACAGGTAGGGCCGCCTCCTCCGGCTTCCACTAAGAAGAGAAAGAAAAGGCCAAATGTCAGCATATAGAAGCAGACAATGTAGTAATTGCAGCACAGAAGGTTTAAGTTAAGGTTAATGTCTTAGTGATGTAGTTAATTTGGTTTGAGGCTAAGTATTTTAGCTAGTGTTGATATTTATGGGTCCAGGTCTGAAAACATTTTTGCATGCTATGTATTCACCAAAAGTCTAATTTGATTCAAAGTAGAGTTTCTGAATTTGCGTAAAGCTTCCCTTTTCATTTTATGAAATGTAAATTAGCAATCAATACATTTGAACCATGTGGTATATTAACAACAAAGAGCTAAATCATATCAACATGAAGCAATTTACTGGATTGATGAAGATGTTAGGCGATAAATTAACCAAGCCAGGAATTGTTGTGTGACTATAATAACAAAAAGAGTAAGATGCAGAATGAAACCAGTGGAATAGATATAAAGAAGGTGGAATAAAATGAGGCTGGAGAGTTTGGAGGTACAGGACAGAGCATGAACAGAAGACTACACAGGATGAGTCTGGGACATTTGCCCATTTAAGAAAATCAGACAAGCGTTGACAGTGAGAGATTGAGAGAGCGGAACAGACAGTGTTACTTACTGGAACGTGGACTCTTGTGTGGTCCGTGTTATCAATGAGCGATTGGTTGAAAACAAGACATTAGTGCTTTTGTGAGCAGAGACATAACAGACCAGGAGACACACAGCGAACGGTTCTCAGTGGTAAACACAATGTCATCAAAACAACCGTTTATAGACTGTTAATGCCATTTACCAGCTGTCCGGAATTTCTTATTCATATGTAAAACTGTTCCATTAGAATACTAAACGGATGAATTATTCAGTAAATATTCAGTTGCAACATCGTGTATTCTGTCTGCAACGGAACATTTCCACTGTGCACATCCCTTCTTTAAATGTTTGCAATGAATAAATTTGGTCAGAAACTGACTGGACTGTCGACGCTTCGCTGTGCGTCTCCGCTGGAGCCAAGCGGCACATTGACAAACAAGATGGTAGAAGTACTAGAAACAATCAAACGACATTCATAAACATCAACAGTAAGCGCAACATTGATAAGAAGACATCGTAAGTAAGATTGAGACGTTAGACAGTCTGAGCTACGGTATGGGTACAGGTAGAAAACACAGAGATGGGCTCCATCAACACACACAGGAAAAGAATACATATTTAGATACCTTTTGAACAAAACCAGCACATTGGGATGCACCACCCCCAACTCAGAGCACTCACATATTAGCATTCTTTTCGGACATGCTAGTAGAGCTAAATGAGGCAATTCATGTGCAGAGCTTCAAAATAATAGCATAACAATATTCAGAATATTCAAGAGCATTTTGGAGAGGGATTAAAGACTTCACAATGGAAGAAAAACTGTACACACACTGAACTAAACTATCCAAATATTCCAGTCAGTGAAAAGCATGGATGTGTGTGTAATTTCAGTTTTTCTTCCTTTGATCATGCTGACCAGATGCATGCGCTCCCAAAGTGAAATCATCATCAGCTTTCAACATGCTGCATCCCCCCCCCCCCCCCCCCTCCTTTCTTTTTTTTGGAGCAAATGCTGTCATGCAAGTTTCTTCCAGGTCAGCGGGGGCAGGTACCGCCGGGGTTTCATAGCTGACATCACCGATGAGACCAGAGACCCCTTAAAGTTCAGAGTGTCCTCTATGAATACAGATGGCGGCCCAGACGACCCCGTGGTATTGCTGTCTTCTCTATGGGCTCTGACAGGACTCTGACCCTAACTGGCTAAACCAAAACTGATGCACATCTCTTGTTTTCTTTCTGCTCTGTTCTTACTTCATTTCCGTTTGGCAAGTTTTAGGAAAATGGCAAGGCCTCCAGAAAGAAAGAAATGAAAATAGACAGAAAAAAAGAAAGGCGGTACATATTGTAACGTTAATAAAAAGTTTTCTTGTAAAATCTTCCACATGCCCATGCAACAAACTGCTTGTTTCTCAAGACACAGCGTGCATACAGAGCCAGAGGTCCCCCACTCTTGTGCATGCGCATGCACCTCCACCACCTACGACGAGGCACTGTGCAATCAATCCCTGAGAAAAAAAGACAATCTATTCTGCAAGCTGGAAACCTGAGCATTGAGAAAACATGGTCACGTTATCAAAATTTCCACAAGTGAGAACACTTCAAAGGATCAAAGCCTGCACACACTTTATTTTACTTTCTTTACAATATCAACAATATTCACTTTGCTGAACCCAGAAGTACATTACTGTGATGGACACGCCATGTTAATTTGGACACTAAGTAACCCTGTCTCCATGACAACATCATAAGCACCTCCCACCCAGGAGTAAAACCAGTAACCATGGAGACATATACTTCAATTTGGAGCAAATTACGGTGCTGGGGGCAGGCAGAGGGGAGATAGTAGACTTTTCAGACGTATCAATCAAATCAAAGTCTCTAGTGGGACAGCATCAAATACTGATTCTCTCAACAGGTCCTAAGTGATATTTAAGTGAACAACTTGAAGCTTTGTAATGATGACCCTTAGCCTCCATTTATAACTGCATGACGTGGTTCGTAAGCCAAATCTACTGCAATCTAATGAGGGACTCGCCATTTGCTGGAGGCTACAGCAACTTGTGCTCAGTGTTGGCCCTGCAGGTCAGTTCTATATAGACAATCCCTCGAGGAAGGAAGGAAGGAGGGAGGGAGGGAGAGGAAGAGGGAGACAGAGGGAAGAGAGGAGGAGGTCAAGCAGGGAGAAAAGCTGCATACAGCACTTACTCTGAAGACATGAAGGAGGACAACGGTCCGACCTCCTTCGCCTTCTGGAGAGCGTGCTTCTGGTTGAACGCTGCCTCTGCTTCCTCTTCATCCTGATCAAAAGAGGAAAAGAGCAAAAGGCGATTGAACAACTGTCGTGCCTGTGAGTTTAAATAATTAAACAGAATCAAAGTGATGAGGGGAGATGATAGCAGGACTAGACACGGTGGAGTGGAACGATTATTAAGACTTTTTAGCGTTTAGTAACAGAATCTAACAAGAATAAAAGCAGATGAGACCAGGTTTGTTCTTTCATTTTCACTTGTTTATTACCTTGGTAAGTTCTTGTGCATTGGCGAGGTTATCCACAGCAATGGCCAAGAAGACATTCAGCAGTGTGTCTTGGTACAGCCGAGTTAAGGACATGGGCAAAGTGCAACAGGGCAAAGCAAAGAATACCGACTGACAAAATGATTGATTCAAAATAATATCAAATGATGGTACCTTTACTTTAATAATAACGCTAGAAAGTTAAGGTTACCTACTTAAAGGAAGGCAGTAAATGCTGTTTTTGACATTTGGGAAGGAACCCTTTCATATTTAATTGAAGGAGGAGTAATTAAGGATACAGTTTCCAAACAGTGTGAGCACTATAAAGTAGATAGAGGACCACATGCCAGACTTCACTCCTCCTTGAGAGCGAATACCGTTGTACATCACCTCGTTCCAGTCCTCTCCAGTCAGGATCTGAGAAAACACACAGCACTCACAGAATATTATACACGTAACTATCCTGAGCATTGCTGTTGTGCTTAGCTATAAACAGCACACCTGCTAAAATATTGTTACACTCAAAATTGCGTTTCCTGTATGTCGTCATTGGCTGTATTAAAAACTTGTGTGAAGTCGAGAGCATTAAATCGTCAGGTTTATTTCCAGACCTGAAAGACGGTCATGATGGCTGCAGGAAAGGTGTCAAAGTTTGTTGGGGTGTAGTCTTCAAAGATGAACCTGTGAGAAACACACACATATGAAAGATACGTTTTTGTCTTTTTTTTAGGCCAATGATTCATTGCAAAAATATAGTCTAACTTTGGAGTGTTTCCCGACAAGCTAGCATGACACGCTTGGTAAGAATAGATGCCTTTGGTCTTATATTTTCATTTGGTACCCTGACATCGTCTCTCTAGCTTTAAAACCGAGCCTGCTAATCCTGCTTAAAGACGGGCCGGGATCCAGAACTGGTTCTAGTTTTATTTCCTCAGTCAGAGAGAAATCAATTCTCTTCTCTGACTGGCCAGCTGATGTGTTTTTTCCCCCCCCTTGTGTTCTGTATTCTTGAGGCCAGTTCAAACACAAGGCCAGCCTTTACTGAAGTGACAGCTTGTGAGAAACAGCATCAGGGGAAAACCAAGCAACAAAAGCTGTGACGAAGAAAGTCTGAAATCATGACCAAGCTCACACAGTCTGTTGGAAAAGAACCGTGAACAGGACAATCTATTCTCCCCTAAACTGTGTGCAGACGAATCTACCAATCCGTGAATGTTACTTTAGCTTTGTTCTTATGTTTGTGAATGTGTCTTTACTGGAACCACATGAATAATGAGCCAAGTGGGAGACAAAAACTATAATGTCTGCCAGATGGATTAGACTTGTCTTTAGCCTGTGTGGTTCCTCAATGGACTCAATTTCTTTATGTACTTACATGAAGTAATGCACAGAACCTTAAGCATTTTAATTACCTGCCACCGAAGAGCTGCATACCAAGGAGTGCGAAAACAAGGATGAAGAGAAAGAGGAGGAAGATGAGGGAGATGATGGACTTCATAGAGTTCATCAAAGAGACGACCAAGTTTCTCAGCGATGCCCAATACCTTGACAGTCACAAAATATCACATTAGTGCAAAAACAATTTCTAAAATATTTTAAAGAAAACTTTAAGGGGAACTCCACTGATTTTTCACATCAAAGTCTGTTAACAGGTCTTAAGTAGTACTACTACACATGTGAAAAACGTCTAATACCTCGCCTCAAGTGCTGCATGTAACATGTAACATCTCAACAGATGGCAAAGAGTTAGGAAGGCTGCGGCACTAACTTGGTGATCTTGAAGATCCTCAGCAGACGGAGAGCACGCAGGACACTGATGCCAAAGGAAGTGCCAGGCCTGAAGAAACCCCACAGCACTTCAAAGATGCTGCCAACGATCACCTACAGACAAACATAAAAACACATAATGAGTCTATACCGACAGCTGAAGTGACAGAGAAAAGTAAGAGAGACACAGAGAAGATAGGACACAAGCAGGATTTTCGGAAAAACAAATATGTAGAAAGGGAGACTGAGTACTGACGCTGCAGTCAAAGCAGTTGAATGAGGAATGGAAGTAGAGACGCGGTCCCAAGCTGTACATCTTCAGAAACATCTCAGTCAGAAACAGAGCGAGGAACAGGAACTCTGCATAGTCTGGAACGACAAGGAAAACAAAGGCACTTCAATCTTGAAACTTGCATAAACAGTGATAAAGCAACAACTTTCAGAACCATTTGACTGATTTACAGTGGTGACAAAAAGGTGTATCAACTGCTTCAAGGTGTTACTGAAATGAAGTGTGTCTCACAGAGGAAGTTGGACAGCCAGAGAGGTTGGTTGTGGTGAACAATGGCCACACACAGCGTGTTGAGAGCCACAATGCCCAGCACTGTCCAGTAGAAAGTGTGTGTCTTCACCACACGGCGGATGGAGATGCGCAGGAGACGCTCCTTACGGCGGAAAAAGGCTCTTGGACCTCGCTTAGCACTCCTGATACTTACTCTGGCCATGGGGATGCCTGCGGGGATGAGAAGGAGACAGAGAAGGAAAGGTACCGAACAGTGCTTGAACAGCATGTTCCTGTTGCGTATCTTGAACTGTGATCCCGACACTGTTTTCAACAATGTCAAGCATGCACTTCTATAGCTGCAGCAGAGCTCAATGTGCCCAACTGGAGTATGCCTTACACTTTATGTGCTCATATTCATCAGCCTGTCAAGACTCCCACTCACCCACAGAAGAGATGTCGCCATATTGTTCCTCCCCTGGTTGCCCTCGATGCCCCACATCCATCCCTCTCCTCTTGATGGTGGTGGCTCTCTTCAACACTGAGGACAGAGCAGGTTGAACATAAAAAAGTCCCAGAACTAGATGTTTCAACTGTATAACCAACACATTCTGTGAAATTAGAGGGAACATACCGCGAGGACAGTGACACAAAGCCGACTTTTGGGCAACATGAGCACAAAACTCTGTATTTCTTGCACTTTTTGCCTTCGATCACATTGTGCTTGATCAGTGAATATATTTTTGCCTTTTTAATGGGAGTATGTTAATGTGGCCCAAAAAAACTGCCTTGTGCATGACCACCCTTACATCTTTCAGACACTAATAGGTCGACTCAGGCAGTATCCAAGTGTGGAAACTTAAAATGCAATATGAAGATAATGATGAAGCAAATGGTAAGAAGAAAATCACAACAAGGATTATCTGCATGACAAGCTAATGTCTGTGAAGTTAGCTGAGAGGGAATGTTAAACACATTAATGCTGCAGTTGAATTCGATAAAAATGATCATTTAATGTTGGTGTAATGATCCAAACAAGTGAAGGCAAACCTTCTGGTGCTTTTTCATGATCTCCGTCATGGCAAACCATGCTCCGAGGCGGCTTGACGGTCCATGCATTTCTCTTATTTGAGCTTCTGCCACACAGTATCAGGTTACATGCCGTGCAGTGCACACATGCCGAAGTGAGTGTGATGAGTATGTTTTGACCTTTTTTTTTCGCTGACGAATGTGTGTGTCCTACCTCCACTCATACCTTCCTGCTACCTTGTGATTTATGATTCTACTTGCAGTTAATATTTGCGTGAGGACTTTTTTTTTAATAAGCTGTTGATCAAACACGCAAACATATTGCTGCCATTTCACACACTGGCATGAACACTGAATCCTGTCAACACACTCTCTCACACACGCACACACACACACACACGCACACACATAAACCAATGGTTGCTTAGGCAACCGCAGTGCGCCACCTTTCTTTTTAATCAAAGCTCTCAGAGCTTCTGCATGTATTTCCATCACAACAGCTAGAGCCACTATCTGTTTTTACTACAGATTTGCATTCAATTTATTTTTATCTTTTCAGAGTGTCTTTGTTCTTCCAGTGACAGAAACATACCGAACAAGAAACATACTTCAGTAAGGATTTGCCCTCTTTTCGTGTTTGTTTGTGTGATTTTGAGTAGCTGTGTGTTTGTATGTGTGTGTGTGTGTGTGCGTGTGGCAAATGAGGTGGTGAAGTTGGTGAGGGAGAGAGCAGAACAGAGGACGGTTCTCACCATAGACACCACCTGTACTCCACTCTGGGAGGCTCCTGAGAGCTGCCAATCAATGAACATTTAATAAAAAGCCCTGCTGGTTTAGGGAGGAGGAAAGGTCACAGTAGAGTTGAGAGGGTCAGGGCAGGCATGGTATCTGTCTGTGGGGAACTGTGTTTAGTGGCTGGTTTACCAGAATCTGTACTAAATCTCTCAATGAGAGTTTTGGGCAATGTAATGGTGTAAAGTGATCTGTGCAAGTGCACCACACTCAATACAATATGTCCTGACTCGACATACTGTACTTTTTCTGTTGCAATCTTCAATTCAGTGAGATTTCGACCATACTAAGGGACTATCAACCACGCCGGTGGCTCTGTGAGGCTGGAGGCGCAACAATGATTTGAGCTAGCCTGCATGCTAACATGTTCACAATGAGAGTGCTAAGATTTATGACAGCAAAGCCTGCAACCCACTGCTGCCTAATGATTGGTCACAACATTGTTTAACATTGATAGGGATGCTCACCTGACTTTTGGCACATTTCACTCTGCCTACATGCTGAAGTTAAACAAGTAATAATGTTTATCATGTTCACAATCTTAGTTTTGCATCTGAGCATTTGCTAAAGAACACATGTAAGTATCAGCTGAGGCTGATGGGAAGGGTGGTTTTGTAGGTATTTGGTGATAAATCAAAAATATTGGATAAATTGACATTTTGACCTGATGATAGCGCTAGGTGAAAAGTAAGAGGATCACTTTAGTCTGTAAGATTCATCCTCTAGGAACCAGGAATATTAACAAAAACATTTCTTGTCAATCCAACCCGTAGTTGTTGAGATATTTTAGTCTGGACCAAAGTGGTGAACTGACTGATCAACTGACATTGTCATTAGTTGTTGCTAGCATGGCTACAACATATCAACCAGATTGAAATATAATTCAACTTCCTTGAAAATACATTTTATTACTATATCCTAAAAAGTAGCGTGTCAACTTAAAATCATAGACAAATACATAATGCAGACTCTAATGGCATATGCTTGAATAGTCTTCATAAAGCACATTTTCATCAAGTGTACATGCCAGCATTAAACTGATTCAGTCGAAGAGAGACAGAATGTAAAGCAATGTGAGGATAGCAGAAAGGCAATGTGCACAATGAAACCAGAAAAAAACAAAGTTCGTTGCTGACTTACCATCGAGGGCAGAAGGTCCTGAATTCTTATTCTCCTCTGCAAGCATCACTTCCTCTGGAAAGCAAAAAGTCAGACCCCGATAAGAAATGAGCAGCCGATGATGGCTCAGATGGAAAGAGGTATACAGACATCTTTTCTAACAATGACTACAACTATATCTCAATTGTGGTGGAACAAACAGGTTGCATCAGATAGTCATACGTTCACCAAATGATAGGATTAGTCTTAACGCTTAAAGTGAAGTATCGATTTTGCTTTTCTCATCAAGAGCCAAATCCTTGGTCCCGGTGAGCCGTGACTGGGACTAAAGCCACCTGCTCTGTCGATCCAGGCCCGGTAGCCGTTGAGCTCTCTCTCAATCTGCTGTTGGCGTCTCAGTTTCATGAAGGCTCTGCGGTTTTCCACCCTCTCCCTCTCCTTCGCAAATTCCCTGCAGAACAAAATCAAACCACAAAATAACTTATTTACTCTTTAAGGGAACAGGGATTTATAGTCATACGGATAAATAAATCCTCTTGGAGACAATAACCGGGGGAAAATCTATTGTTGTTTTGAACTCTTCTCATTGCTCATTCAACCACAAGAGCAGAGGAGAGGGAGCAAGGCAAAGGAGGTCTCTCACTGTCTCCCCCATTAACCTTTACGTAATACTAATTAACTTGTATAGACCTTCACACCACGAACTGAAATAGCACAATTTGACTTGACAGCAGCTAGTTTGCCAACCACTCATCCAGCCAGTTAAAAAGCAGCGTACAGAGTGTTGTCTGGCTACCAGCCTATAGCCTGCCAGGTCCTACTGACAACACAACCAGCTGACTGCACTGCATACTGTAACTGTAGCCAATTTCAAGGGCCATCTACTTTGAAGGATGTGGTGTAGCCTTGGAGGGACCTGAAAAAAAAAGTAGCTGAACTTGAGCCCAGTCTTCAAAAGAATCAGTGTATCTTGACAGAGACCAAAACTAAAGGTGCATTTGAGCGGCCCTTAGTCAGTTAAGTTACTCCTTTTGTCCTCTGTGGGACATAAGGCCGAAATGACATCCCTGAGCAATTTCGGTAACAGAATTTCTGTTGGTATGGTGTTGCTAGCTCTACGCCCACCCCCCTCACCTGGAGTGTCGGTGTGCTGTCTTTTGCTAGCCCCCTAACCTGAGACAAATCTGGTTTGGGAGATTAAACTCCCACCAGCATAGCTCTCAAGCCTCGGCACAATGTCCAAGCTATCTTCATCAAGTGATAAAGTTAAAGTGCATCACCAATAAGTTTCAAAGGACCACCTAAAGGTACCATTAAGTAACTGAAAAAAAGCATAAATCTGTCACACGAAGCGGAAACCTTGATAAGTTTAAAATGAACCTGGATTGAACTTGTGAACCTACCCAGAGAGGACTCCCAGCACAAGATTCAGGACAAAGAAAGAGCCGATGATGATGAGAGGGACAAAGTAGAGCCAGTTCCAGTTGGTGCCCAAGGCATCGTCGGTCTGAAACATCAAAATAAATTCTAAATTCAGTAAAATCACATCAGGCTGGAGCACATTCATGCTGCCATTGGCAGAAATACACAAGTGTAGGTGTTTGGGTGGCTGCTGAAGGTTCCTGAGTGCAGGCAGGTCATCGAACAGCTACATCATGTGTATTGATCTACACTGGCCTCATAGGAAGAGTTTGGAGGAGAGTGGAGGTACTGAAGCTACTGTATGAAGCCAACATAGAAACAGAGTACAGCATCTCTACTTCAGTCAGTGAGCCTGTAGGGTCAGCAGTCCTTTTTCAGCATGTCATCCTCCCACTTTCCTCCCTCCTTCATTGTTCATCAGCAAAGCTCATTCCGCATCACTTCAGACAACATAATACAATCAACCTGGCAAATCATCTGCCTTCATCCACCTCAATACAAACTGAAAGAGCAGGCAGCAGACTGCAAATTACACCCTGGCACAGCAGTTTGCTTTCGTGAATGTATACTTATGAGTGTTGCTTAACTGAGATCTTTGGTAAAGGAAGAAAGGAGACATTAAGTTATTGATTAATTCTGTGATTTTTATTTTGGTTTCCACATATTTTGGCGACTGACAATTCTGATTTTTGGCTATGAAAAGTACAAATATCATTTTAGAAGAAGTACTTACAAGAAGCATACAGTACAACAATGACCTACAGTACACAGCTGTCTATCCTTCTTTTGTCTTCTTCTTATGATTAAAACTGGCTCAAATAATAGAAATCTTTAGACTGCAGCCTATAGTGAAATTCATGAAGTCCACCACTCTGACTTCCTAAATACTTCTCGTTATATGGTATCGCCAAAATGTCATGCTCATACAAAGGAGTTTTTGATAAATTCAGTTGTTTTTGGCAGGGAGTGTCAGCGCTAATAAATCTTCTTTTGACTGAAATTCGGCACAACTTCTGTTGAGTACTTTCGATCTTGAGTCGTGTATTTCCTTACTGGTTTCAAAATGTATCAAAACTTGCATCGGAAACATGTTTGGCCGAAAAAGCTTCTGAACACATTGTATTTCCTTCCAATCTGATGCAACACCAGATATTTTGCCAAAAGTAAATCACAGTGAAAATGCCCATATGTTTATAAAATGGTTCAGTCTTAAAATAATACAGAACAGTTGTTGTGATAGCAACACTGCACTAGGCATAATGTATCCATGCATACTGTTACTTCGCAAATCTCAGAAGTGTCCAGGCCTCGATGAGAAGAATATTTTGTTTTGCAAAATGCGTCTCTGATGGTATATTTTTGTCACGGGCAGGATTTTGCACACTGCCCCTATCTGCACAGGATCTTGTAACTCAACCAGAGGTGGACATGATTGGACTTGATTTGTTGGATGGTCATGCAGGCAACAAACATATCAAATTAGCAAATGGTGCCACCACCTTCCACTGCTTGCCTTTCTTTCTACATACTGTCTGTGTCTGTGTGTGTGTATGTGTGTGTGTGTGTGTGTGTGTGTGTTTGTGTTTGTGTGTCTTCCTGCTCCTCTAACTCTGAGATAAACGCTCATAAAGCACGTTGCAGCACCTCAATCCTTGTCTGACAGATACTCTACATCAGATAAGCTACCCTCATTATGAACATGATGCGGTATTTTCCTGTTTTCTGTTGTATAACTGTCAGAGGATTCAAAACATGTCCTCAGGCTTTTGCTATTGGACGAAGAGTCCTTGAGCATAAAAATGTTCAGTTTCCTACAGAGCAACAGCAGAGCTGACTCAGCCCGCTCTTATTCTCAATCGATCTGTGAACGGTCAATCACTGCTCTGAGATGTGGACCAGGAGGACTTGATGATGTCAGTCATACAGGATGACAAAACGACATGATATATACAAATACTCCAATACATCACGTAACCATGGAGTAATAAAAATACTTTTAGAGACATGGCTCAGGGAGACAATTTTCTGCTAAAATTGGCATTAAGGTCCTGCTTAAAGAAATGATTCACATTAGTTCTGTCTATTTAAATATGGGTAAACAGAGGCCAAAAATGTAATTTTTCTATCTGCTGTCTTCGTGTTCATATTCACACGAAACATAGCAGATGTTTACACAGACATTAATCCTAGATTACATTTCTAAGAGATTCTGAAGCGTGCCATATTTCATAAGTAGTAGGTGGGCAGTCTAATCTCTGTTCAGCCCTTGCAGCATGTTTTACATTTCTCAGGATAGATAGAATAAAAATGGCAAGCTGAGAGCAAAACAAGAATCAACAGAGCACACACTGCTGCACCTCAAGAATTTGCGGCAATCCAGGGAAATAATATGAGCGGCACACGTGAGTGTACATGTGTGTGAGCTGTCTTACATTGTAGAGTACAGTGGTCCACCCCTCCATGGTGATGCACTGGAAGACCGTGAGAACCGCAAACAGGATGTTGTCAAACTGAGTGATGCCGTCATTCGGGCCGATCCACGTATCGCTGCAGGTGTATTTGGCCGGACACTTACGCACGCCACACGGGACCTCGTACTCAGAGGAGTCCACCGTCTCGTTTTCTGAAAGGTGAATAGATAGAAAAAATGTGTCGTACATGGGACCAAAGTTACCAACAACAGAAAACAGACCTTGCCTGGTCAATGAATGCCCGTATTCAATTTCAAAGCTATCGCGCATTGAACAATTTTCACACTGAATCTGAGAACTTGAATATTTTGTTCTCACGCTTACTGCACAGTTTAAACCCATCCACGTACCCAGTGAGCAACGCTGCCCTTCATTACTGCTCTACAATTGAGTTGTGTGACAGCGGTTTCTTAGCCTCGAAGATATCTTACTGGCCACGTGTCACAAGGAAACCTATAGGGGAGCAGTGGAGCAGCAGCGCACCTGTCAGAACAGTAACATGACCATTCAGTGACAGAATTTACGCACTTCAGTCCGCCTTGTTATCTAACTGTCCATTCAGCTTCAGCGTGACGTGAGCAGCACGGAGGTTAATGACAGCTGTGAATGCACAATGAGCTATTGTAGAGCACCGCATTCTCTTTAATTATACAAGACAACACTGACAGTTTGGTTTGATCAAGCCTGCAGGTGCAGCCTGGCGTGCCATTGTGCGTACGTGTGTGTGCATTTGTGATTATGACAATGGCGCTGCTACCTAAAGAGCTATGTACACAACACGTAGACACACACATACAGCAGATACACACTCAATAACAACACCGTGAGCTCAGTCTCGACTCTTTTCCCTTGTCTGATGCAGTTTGCTGACAAAAATAGTTCTTAAATTTGTCTTTTATCCGTTCGCAATTATTATGATTCCCAACCATTTCAGGCCCTTTCTACAAATTGCTCTTTTTTTAAAAATCCATGCCATAAGTGTGTGTCAGAGTTATTGAGATAATTTCCTGATTTGCAATGCAACTTAAATTAGATCTTGGTTTAAGATGAATAAATATCTGAATAACAGTAATCAACACAGAGTAGAATTAATTATTCCATATGTTTACGTGTGTGTGTGTGTGTGTGTGTATACGTTTGTGTATCTGAACTGGAACACTGAATTAGCAGAAAAACGTTAAAAAACAAATGAACTTGCCAGTTTCTTATGTTGACTGAACTCCTAAAACACACTTGTATATTTCCATCTCTTTGATTTCCTGTCTGTGTGAAATACTAGACAGAAGGGTGCTGTAATTAATCAATACAATGTTCACGTCCTTTTAAAAAAATAATCAGTGAACTGTCCATCATAACTTTTTTTTATTTGTGAACAAGTAGAACTAATGAAACTTTTCTTTAAAGTTTTCTGAATCTGTTCTTTTGATTTATAGAATATGATTTGAGAGAGCAAACATTGCCAGACAAATTAAATGTTCAGACAAAGGCTATGATATGTGTAAATAAATAAAAGAATCATTTAACGAACAATATATCTCCCAGTATCTTTTAGTCACTGTAAAATTCTGAATGTAATAATGATCAGTATTACTGGTCGATGCACACGCCAATATGTGAATAAGGGGAGTAACGGCACTTTTTTATTTTCCACTTTAATGTACATATTGTGCACATCCTGTACAGATATCTGCTTATAAAAAGCATCACTTTGCATATAACTGCATGTAATCGTGCAGCATGTACCTGTCTGCTACAGTGACATATATGCAATGAGTGTGTCTGTACCCAGTATTCCAGGCTGCGGCGTGCAGGTGTAGTGCAGTTTGCCGCTGTAAAACTCCAGGCCGATGATGGCGAACATGAGGATTGCAAAAAAGAGCAGCATGCCGATCTGCAGCAGAGGAACCATGGCCTTCATTATAGACTTCAAGACTATCTGCAGACCTAGAAGTAGAGCACACAGTGAGTTCAAGTGAAAACAAATTTGTGAAACATGCCAGTCATGAAATGTACTGACTTCACTTTACAGTGATTGAAAGAATACATATTTTCAAGTAGAGCTGAAGCGCTTTGTCAATTAATTTATTTCAACAGAAAATTAACCATCAACTATTTTGATAATCTATAAATCATTCAAGTAAGTCAAGCAAACTTTCATTTGAGAAGCTGGAATCAATGATTCTTTGCTTGAATTACTTCAATGATTTATAGATTATCAAAATAGTTGATTAGTTAATTTAGAAGTTTAAATTTTCCGAGGCGATATCTGAAAACCTGACCAAATACCGCCAAAACTGTCTTCATGGCTGGACACACCAAGGGGAGTGAGACAATATGTTTCATTTTCTTGGCATATAAAAGGATATTGATGTAATGTGGTGCTTACTCGGGATGCCTGAGACCAGTTTGAGGGGCCGCAGCACTCGCACCGCCCTCAGGGTCCTCAGGTCCACTGAGATGTTCATATGGGCCCCTGCTGCGGCCAGGATCCTGCACAGGAGAACACAAACAGACACACAGTGTCACAGAGCACAATTGTCCCTGCCTTGCACATGAATACTTCAATTTTACGCTTTATAATCTGTTGCGGAGTGGTGTCAATAAGGGGACTCACACACACAAAAACACAGTAGGGCCATCACACATAGTATTGGAGGATGGCTGCAGAGCTTAGATATGGAGTGTGAGGTCTCCAGCACGCAGAGAGAAAACAGAGAAAACAAACAGGGATGTTTTTCGGGGCTTTTGGCTGCTTCACTGTGTGTGGGAGGATGCAATGGCTGTGACAACTGCTATTTAGGAGCAGAACAAAGAAAGCAGCTCTGTCAAGGGAGGGCAAGACACCCTCAGGCTGGAGAGACATGAGGCTCACGGACAAACACACACACACACACACACACACACACACGTCGCAATCGCACTGACCTCTTATCTGCTTCACAAAGCCAGTCCTCCGAAAGTTCCATTTTTACCTTGTCTTGTTTTCTCTCATCTATTCCCCCGCCCTCTAAATACACCTCTGTGGCCTTCAGCCCTCAGACTGATGAGGAAAAACAAAGACAGTGATCCCCCCCCACACACACACACACCACTGCTTCCTCATTAGTCTGCCCTCTTGATTCCCTTTTCTCTCTCCTCTCTATACCCTCATATCCTGCTCTTCATCCCTAAACCTCACTCCTCTCACCTTCTTCTTCGTCCCCCTGTTTATACAACCTCCTTCCCAATTATACTGGCACCTTTGACTCTGTTTATCAATTTTCCACTGACCGGGACACACATTTATATCCCTTTTTACCTGGTTACCTAGTGAGAGAAAAACAAATAGATGGATGGATGAAAAGTAAAAATAAAAAGGTTTTTGCCAAGGAGAGGATGGAGCAGCATTTTTACTTTGCGTATCAACTCCAAAACTTAAACTTAAACTGTACGCGAGTGCTCATTGCTCTTCTGGCCATTTGCCGTAATTAAATTCACTTCAATCATGACAAGACGACTGAAATGAAGGGAACAACATATAACACAAGAACGTCTAAGGTCATTGATAGGCGGATTCTGTAAAAGTGCAGCATTTTAAACATATGGTGCAGTAAAATGTTAAAACAACATCTTACAGTGAGTTACTCGAAGATGATGGCATACTTGCAATCAGACAGCTAGAAAAGCAGCAACACAGACCCAGTTACTTTCCTGTGACACAGTGGTGAAAATTAGTCCGGTCTAGTGTTAGGAGACACAGAGCGTCATCTGATTTAATTAACAGAAGAAAGACATGTAGAGAGAGAGTGAGAGGAAGAGGGAGAATGAAGTGAGAGAAAGATTAAAAATAGCTCACCATCATCCACACAAATACAGAAATAGAATTATTCTCATGAGTTTCACACCTCTAACTATTCCCCATTGGATTTTCCTCCCTTTTCCATTTTCACCCCCAACACGCTATGTCTTTGTACTTTTCTCCTTTTCTCCTTTTCTCCTTCCCTCCTTTTACCCCAATCGCTTCCTCTGCTGCCTCCTGCCACCTCTGTCATTTCGCCCTCCAATTCCTCCATCTTTCAATCTTTCCTCAGACCATTAGTCAGTCCTGGCTGCTCTTTAGTTGTTATGGAGACGAAGGGATGGAGGGTCTAAAAATGGCTACCTCATTTAGTCGGCTGTTGGATGTCCTGGGTCCCGTTTTCTAATAACCACCGTTTGCAGTTTGGAGTGTTTTTGCTCTCAAAGTCCACCTGGACTCATTCCTTTATTCAGACAAAAGTCATGTTAGCGGACTTTGAATTATCTGCTTGTTCAAGCCAGGGAAGTGTGTGTGTGTTCATGCTCGCAAATAAGAAAGAGACTGGCAGCTAGAAATAGAATGTTTGCTGCTGGTTCTCAGTCTTTGCCTCTTTTGTGTCTGTGTCTTGAGCTCCGGTCTGGAAGTCAGTATCATGCCGATAGAACGGTATCAGCTGCTATTAAAGCCTGCAAAAATACACTCGGTATAAATTGTTTTGATTGGCTGTATGTAAAGAAACTCTCTGTACGTGTAGATATATGCTGAAATATGCGCAGACAGAAAAAATGATTTCATCTGTGTCCTGACACTGTTGTGTATGATGTTCCAGTTGGACAAAATGTTTATATGTATTGTGTAAATTATGCATAAACTCTATGTACACAGTACACTGCATGTACACAGCTCCTAAGAGCTGTCCATGGTGCTGAAGAGGATGAGGAATTCATATTACAGTAAACTGGATTTGGAACTGTCTGTAAGCCACCTTGTATTGTACATAAAGGGTACATAAAATGAAAAGCTTAAATTAAACAACATTTTTCAGGTGGAACTGGTCCGGCCTGATGCCAATCTTACCAACGCTTATCTATTACAGGCTGCTTTGAGCAGGAACTGAAAATTATCTATCAAAGAATAATAATAACTACTTTACATACACAGTCCAGGCAGAAATACGAATAATTTCATGAATTTATATGAAAATACTGCCAAAATGTCCAGTAACTTACACTTCCCTCCACTACAGTGCTTTCCAATCATCATTATGACAGCTACGCTTCACACTATACTGCCGTCTGGACATCGGCACACATTGGCACCCTCTTTATGACCGAGATGAGGAAGGTGAAGGTTGGCCACAGAAACTGGCAGATGTAATTCAGCCACGGGAAACACAACACATGGCTGATTTGGCGCAAAAGAAAGATTTATTTCCTCCCTGTAGTTTTCCTTCTCCCTAATGCGGGACTATTCATCCGTTGTTTGTATTGGATTAAATCTATTTTATGATTGAAATGGAGATAAACACTTTTTTATTAAAATCATATTACTTATATTAAACACTTATATCTTATTCATAGTGAATATCAGTCGTCATGATGACTAAAACATTCAATTTAATTTGAATAAAAGATATAGACCTTCTGTCTGTGTCTGGTTACAATGCTTTACTTGTAGCTTTCTATTGGTGCACCAGAGGCGTAAATATAAGAATTTGCAAGAGTGTGTTCATTTAAATACATTTCAGAAGTAACCGTTTTATAATTCCCTACAGTTCCCACATCTCTCCAAGTTTGTCTATCTTTTTTTTCTCTGCCAACTAAACTCGATGGTTAAAATTTGAGCTACAGTTTGGGCCTGATGGGGATGAGAGCGTCTTGAAATGGATTGAACCCCGGAGTCACTTCATGAACACCTTCACTGATCCCAGAGACAACACACATCTGGCAGGTGCCTGGTGCATCTTCAAGTCATTTTTAGTCACCGGGAGATGTCGCGCAGAAAAACATCTTTGCTCACCATGCACGTATATCTGCAGGCGTTATGCGTTATGCCCTGGTCAGAGTTGTCAGCCATGATAAGTGAGTAACAATGACATGCCGTGCAGAAGTGACAGCTCGCTGCTGCGTGACAAATCTGTTGTGACAACCGTCATGCTGTGATACTGATAACGTTGTGACTTATTCTCCTCGTCACTGTCAAGCTGCTAACTAACATGATATGAGCACACCTGACTATTGTTATGATAGCAGCTCCACAACATGTGCTATTAACACCACTGGTTCTCAGCTCAGGGGTTACAGGATAATGCTGGTGCATCACAAGATGCTGTTTAATACAAAAGCATTTTTCATTGTTCTTTATTGCTATTATAAAAATATCTGCTGTAAAAAAAAAAGGTTTTCTGGTGATCTCTATGTCTAACGGTCAGGTGGAAAAAATGTTTTGATACCAAATAGTGGTGATAAAAGATATTGTTCTTAGTTCTTGGAAAGTTGACTTCTGGGAGGTTTTCCATTCAACAAAAAGCAATATACCATACAGTATATAGTCATTAATGTGTCAATGCCAATGTGTACAATCCAGCAGCATGACTTGCAGTAGATTGCATCTGGAGGAGAGAATGTAGGAGTACTAAGCACTGTGGAGAAACACACAATGAGTTGGTAAAGCTGAGCTAAAAACATCAACTAATACAGTGTAACACTGTGCAACTCAACCATGGTAAATGCGTAGCCCGAACACCAACTAGAGTCAAAAGTAAACTTTCATAGAGAGGACACTGGGGGCCCCCCTTGTTTTGTTTTTAGGGGCATCTTGGTGTAACATAATGACAGAGGGTTTTACAGCAATACGACGGTGCAGGTTTCCCTTCTCTGTCCTCAGTGATCTGTTGGCATATCCCTTTGCTGTTGGTTGTGTTGCTGATATCTCCTTATGCTTCAGGATGAATTCAGTTATTTTCTGATCACAAAGCGCTCCCCTTTGCTCACTCAGAACGGACTAGAGAATCTGCTCGTCACTGACTCCCAAGAATGGATCAGTTATTGCATTTACATGTGGCAATTTAGTGAAAGAGATCTGAATAAGCTGTTAATAAGCTGACTGATAATATCAGTAGCAGCAAGATAACTTGACAAATGTGTCCATAATACAATTTAATGCTCAAGTGAACATTAAAAACTGGGACTCTAGATTTGGAGATTTCTTTCTTCAGATAAAATTATCTCGTTGATTCAACAAAATGTAAGTTTTAGGCATTGATAAGACACTACAATCTGAACTCTCATCCAGTCCTATGTTATGAAGACCTGTGATTCTGCAGGACCATGAATTCATATAACTCCTCTGGTGGCCGATCCTACAGTGGGTGGTGTGTGTACAGCGGATCGTCTTGACAGAATAAGGACTTGTGTGGAGGAACTCCTACAGTGCTGCTCTGGTTGGTTTAGTTAATATAAGCCTCTCCGCCTCCCACAGTGTGCTCTCTCATTTCTAACTCCCCCCTCATCCTTTTTACTCTCTCTCTCTCTGAAACACACACACACACACACACACACACACACAAACACACACTGAACCCTTCTACATTCACACAAGATATTCAAGTTGTTATGCAAGATCAATTGTTACTGCTCCTTATATCGACAGCCTGAGATACTGGCCTAGCTTTACGGGAATCAGCTGAGTATCAGCCCGCATACTGGTTTAT